ACATGCCGCCCGGACTTATCCTACATCGCCAGCCAGCTCGCCCAGTACCTGCGACGACCTGAAGGGGAGAACCTAGCAGGCCTGCGCCGCGCCTTTCAGTACTTCATCTCTACGCCTGATGTCGGCCTCACCTACAAGGCCAACTTAACAGCGTCACTACAACTCACCGGCTATGTGGATGCTGACCACGTTGGGGACGCAGACAACAGGAGGTCCCGCACAGGCTTCATTTTCAAGCTCGAGCCTGCAGGAGCCATCTCCTGGAACTCCAACAAACAGGAACTTATCGTCCTCTCGTCAGCAGAGGCAGAATTCATCGCAGCAAGCGCAGCAGTTCGCGAAGGACTCTATCTCACGGAGCTTCTGCAGGAAACGAAGACGGCGATGAACGGATCCTTTAAGTTACTCTGCGACAACCAGAGCGCGATCAAAATCGCAAACAAACCAGGCTTTGTCAACCGCACGAAACACATCGCCCTGCGTTACTTCTTTGTGAAGGATGAAATCGACAAAGGGAAAGTCCAGCTCATCTACTGCCCAACTGGCGAAATGGCAGCTGACTTCCTCACGAAGAAACTGCCACGTCAGAAGTTTCAGTACTGCTCGGACCTGTGCGGAGTGACTCGCAAAAGCCACGTGGCGCACCTCCAGGAATGAAGGGGAGTGTTGGAGTGTGAAGGGAATTATACTTAGCATTCCCGTAGGTGCAGCAGTATCGCACCTGACTTTGTCGAAGTAGCAACAACCGCAGTATCGGATCAGCCCGTATCAAGGGCAGGAAGGTCAATAGTCGCAAGAGTCAACTGTCGCGACTGTTGACCATCTGGACCGACGCTTGACTTACCATCGAGGAATGGCAACAGGCGTAACCGCACAGGTTACATGCAGCGACTCGGTAACAAGAAAGTAGTGCAACAGTCAGAGTCACTGTAGAAATGCCTGTAAAACAGTTATAATAAGGGAATGTACCCCTCAGAGTACATGGCTAGACTAGGACTATTTATATTCCTTGTATTCTATTGTTTAATCAACTTAGTCATTTACATTCACTATGATCTGAGTTCTTACAAGACTTCCACTACCAACTCTACTAAAGCACCTCCTATCCTATCCAAGGTCCTCACTCTAACAACTCGCCTGTGTTAAGTTACCATACGCGTTAAGCGAGTTACCAAACGTGTTAAGCGAGTTACCAAACGCGTTAAACGAGTTACCAAACGCGTTAAGCGAGTTACCAAACGTGTTAAGCGAGTTACCAAACGCGTTAAACGAGTTACCAAACGCGTTTAGCGAGTTACCAAACGCGTTGAAATCATTACAGTACGCATTATAGTTGCCCATGTAAGTTACCATTGACATATTTTCCCAAAATGGAATGTGGAAGGGTACATTTTATGAGTGGGTTATGAGTATACACTTGTGTCAAATGTAATTCTATGCTTGTAGGCTACAGTGAGTAGCACAATAGGGAGTACAGTTGTTAGGGTTGCATATTTGTACTCTCACACTTTCTAGTTTCGCCCATTCCGTTGCATTCCTATTCTAAGATGGTATCAGAGCAAACAACAAGACTACAGCAACCGAGGGCCTCCCTCAACAAGCCCCAACTGCACACAGAACCTGTGGTGATCACCAAGTGCCAAGGCCTTGGTGAAGACGTCTGCAGTGTTGGCCTCTGAGGCCACAAAGTCCAGGCGTGCCTGGCCGCGTCGCTGCAGCTCTCGCAGGAGGAAGTACCTCACGTCAATATGCTTCACTCTGCTCTCCAGTCGAGGCTCTCGACACAGGAGGATCATGGCCTTGTTGTCAGCGTACAAGGTCGGTGCAGAGCGAGGCCGCTCACCAAGGTCGGCGAGCAAGAAGGTCAACCAGCGAAGCTCCTGTGCCGCCATGGCACCAGCGTAGATCTCTGCCTCTGCACTGGAAGTAGCCACAGACGACGACCGTGTAGACCTCCACGACACAGCACCAGCTCCCAGACTGAAGCAGTAACCCTGAGTCGAGCGCTGAGTCTCCACGTCGTCAGCGTAGGAAGAGTCGCAGTGACCAGTCAACGCCACTGGCTGAGTCCCTCCAAGCACAAGCCCCATGCCCGATGTAGTCGCCAGGTACTTCGCCACCCTCACAGCAGCTGTCCAGTGGACAGGACGGTGTCTCCCAGTCGCAACAAAGCGAGAGAGGATGCTGAGGGGAAAGGCGAGGTCCGGCCGAGTACAAGTCATCAGGTACATGAGGCAGCCCACAAGCTCTGCGTAGGGACCACTGGGCTCAAAGAGCTCGTCAGGAAAGGGGCCAGTGAGTCGGTGGTCAACAGCAAGAGGAGTGGGCTGTGTGGTGGAGAACTGGAAGTCGAACCGCCGAAGGACCTGCTGCACCATGTGTGACTGCGTCAGTGTGATGGTGCGAGCGGCTCTGTCCCTGGTGATCTGCAAGCCAAGGTAGCGCTGCAGCTCACCCAGGTCAGTGCACTTGTGTCTCTTCTGCAGTTCGGACTTCACCTGAGCCAGGGCTGCCCTGTCTGCGGTAGCAAACACCAAGTCGTCGACGTAGACAAGGATAAAGAAAGGAGTAGAACCCGCTCGAACAAACAGCGACGGGTCGGTGGAGGACGGGCTGAACCCAAGGTCACGAAGCGTGGAGCGAAGAGTGTCGTGCCACTCACGGGGCGACTGGCGGAGACCGTAGACTGGTCGCCTCAGGCTCCACTGGGTCCCAGGTGGGAAGGTGTCAGTGAAGCCAGGAGGACGGCGCAGCCAGATCTCCTCGTGCAGTCGGCCCTGGAGGAACTCAGTGGAGAAGTCAAGGGAATGCAGCTCGTAGTCTCGCTGCGCTGCTATGTGGAGTAGCACCCGAAGAGTAGTCATCTTCGGGGTCGGGGCGAAGGTCTGGAAGAAGTCAACTCCCTCACGCTGACTGAAGCCCCTAGCCACGTAGCGCGCCTTGAACACCGGCGGTGCTCCAGGCGGCCGCTTCACCTTGAAGAGCCACATGCCATCGACTACGTTCGCCCTGGGAGGGGGAACTGCGTCGACGTAGGTGCCTGTGGATCTCCAAGACGCCAACTCTGAGTCCATAGCCGCTTTCCACTGAGAGGCCCACGCCCCTGACACTGCCTCGCGGTAAGTGCGAAGAGTCGGTATGTCAAGGGCGTCGGGGTCTCCCTCAGGGGAGAGCAGCATGGCACACACAGAGGGAGAAGCGGCTGCCCAGTACTCCAGCTCAGACTCTCTGTCCTCTAGGACGTCACAGCCAAGGGCAAACCCACCCCCGACGGATAGAGGACGGGAGGGAGGAGCTGGCACCACACGGGTGGCGTAGTCAAGGCGGCTGGCGGCAGCAAACTCAGCGACAGCGGTAGTAAGAGCCGAGGCAGACGACGGAGGGAAACGAGAGTCGGTGACAAGGGTGGCGAGGACACGTGCGGCAACAGGACGAACAGCGCGGTAGTAGTCAGAGATAGGAGTGGGGAGGGCTGTGAGAGAGGACGGAGGAGGAGACGGGAGAACGGACACAGGAGAAGGAGAACGACGACGAGACGAACAAAGGAGGGCAGTGTGGAGGTCAGTAACAGGGGACGAGTGACGAGCACGCGGAGGACAACGGGTGATCAAGTCGCGACGGACAGAAGGAGGAGACTGAGGAGGAGGAGAAGACCAGACCGCCGGACGGTCGTCAGGAGGATGCAACGGAGGAACAAACACAGCAGCTTCCTCTGGAGCGGCAGTTGTTCCCACCTGTGAGTGGCCTGCGGGCCCTTGGCCTTTCCTCCTCTCCTCATGTCCTTGAAGGTGGTGAACTGAAGGGAACTCACCTACTTGCGACTACTCTGGCCGCAGATTTTTTTGTGCGCATTCACAAGTTATCAGTTAGAAATTCTGTAATTCACGTTGTGTAAACCAAAACGTTATCACAATTGATAACGAGAGGGGTAAAAAAATGTATGAGTGGACGGTGAAGTAAACAAAGGTTAATACAGCATAACAACCAGAACGAGATACTTGCGTAAATCTGTACCATAAGCCCACAAGGCCCACAAGGCCAGAATGAGATACTTTCGAAATTCCTGTTTTTCCATCGGCCAGATGGCTGTGCATATAGCGAGGGGACGAGGTCAGAACAAGTCACTCCGGCATGGACGTCGCCTCCCAGCCCATCTCCAACCTCGTTTTGAGCCTTTGTCACACCGCGCCTCGTTCATAAAATCACGAGTCGCTACACATTGCACCATACGGTTCGGCTCAAAATGCCATCCTCTTCCTCGCCAATGTCACAAAATGCGTGCCTCGCACCACCACCTTCACCACAAACCAAAGCCGCGTATTTCTGTAGTACAGTGCTGCGCAATTCTTCCACAAATTCATGTGCTCATGTATGTTCTACTGACTGACCCTCGTCATCGGCGCCCCGTCACCCCGCCCATTGGCTCAGCAATAGCGGGCCAGCATCAACCCTTGCTTGGCACCCTTGGCGGCGCGCGTTCCCCGTACCCGCCCCATTCCCAGCGCTTGCAAGGTGCAAGCAAAGCACTTCGGGTCGGGTCTGCTCTCTCTCACCTATTTGCCCCACCAGCATCAAGCCTGGTTGATAGCACAATCTGTCGACGTTTTCGGCCCAGCCCAGACCAGCTTGGATCATCCGTTCATCGTTCTATCGTACACTCACGCAAGAAAGAGCGCCTTCGCCTCCGTAGAGATTCTCAAGTCGATATTTAATAATATGCTTATAGACCTCCCCCTCCCAACACACGACTTGCCATTTAAACTCCTGACTGCCAGATCGACTGCAAATCCTTCTGCTAGTGTCTCAACTGCCTAGGGCCTTTTCAGCTGCGCCGAAGCCTTTCCAGCTTCCCCCTTTGTACTTGCAGCCGCGAAGAAATCTGCAATTTTGATTTATAAGGAAAAAAGTGATTGAAGCACACGAATCACTCGCACTCGAAAGCCCCCAGGCGCCTGCCATTCCCTCGCACCCACAATCCCTTGACTGCACCACTCACAACCATGAGCACGTCGCCGCTCCTCGCCAAGTCGGCGAAAGATGCCTTCATCGAAGTCATGTGAGTCATGGGATCCGGGGCGTTGCACGTGGACTACGTTCGCGTGTGGAACAGTTCAATCACACGTTGTTCCAAGTTGTTTCATATCAAAAGGCTTACAATTCAAATCCTTTTTCCCCCGTGTCCCCGCCGATCCGCAACCCTCCCCCTTCCATCCCCACCCTCCGCCCGCCGTCCCCCCCCCCGGTCCGCCCCACCAGGCTCATGCCCGGCGGCAATCTCGAGGCGGTCGAGGCGCTCTTCGCGTGCTGCCAGGTGGACGTCTTCGTTCACTCCATGGCGCGCCTGCGCAACGCCGCCGCCGCCAAGCGCCAGATGCTTGGGCTCGTGTCGCCGCCGCAGCTCATGCACGCCGAGCCCTACACCGTCCGCGATATGCTCACCTTCCAACCGGTGCGTTTCTCGAATTATTCGATATACAGTGGAAGTTTGGTTGACGCGAAACAGCTTGCACTCCCCTGCAAAGTGCATGCCCACCCAGCCGTGCGCGTGTGTATCGCCCGTTGCTGACGCCAAGAATTGGAACCGTAATCCGCGTCTTTCTCTCTCTCCTTTCCCCCTCCCTCCTTCCCCCTTCCCCCTTCCCCAGGACCCCTTCCCCCATCCCATGCTCCGCCTGCACCGCGCGCTGCAGGAGCCCGCCGCGCGCTTGTTCGGGGACATTCTGCGCTACATGGGGCTTGCGAGCGGCGCGGGAGGCGCAACGTTCATCGGCGGAGGCCCCGCGGGGAGGCTGACACCGGCGGCGGAGATTGCGCTGGTTGCGCGCGTGCTGCAGACGATTGGCGAAGAGCCGCTGCTTCGCGACGAGCTATTTCTGCAGTTACAGAAGCAGACGCGCGCGAATGATTATCGGTAAGCAAAGAAACAGCTCGTCCTCCCCCTCGTCCGCTCGCCGCCCCCTTCCCCTCTGCATCGTCATCCTTCTACTATCTCAGCGGGGGAAGCTCATGCGGCACTGTACATCTTCCCCCTCCACACCCTCCCTCTCACTTCCTTTCTCCGCTCCGCCCTCTTTCCCGCCCCCGGTTCCCCAGGGACTCGTGTATCGAGGTTTGGGAGCTCATGCGGCACAGTACGTCTTCCCCCTTCCCCATATTCCCGTCTTAAAGCATCCCCGCTCCCCCGCGCGCCCCAATCTTCCCCAGCGACTCGTGCATAAAGGCGTGGGAGCTCATGCGCTACTGCGCGTACATCTTCCCGCCGACCACCACCGTCGCGACGCCCCTAGTCGACTATTTCACCGCGCTCGCTGCCGACCCCAAGTGCGACCCGGGAATCCTCGGCGCGCTGCGGCTGGCGTGGAAGGCGCTCGAGCACGGGCTGGAGCACGGGCCGCGCGAGACTATACCGGGGGAGGAGGAGGTTCGCGCGCTATTAACGGGGACCCCGATGGTGGTGCCGGTGTTTCTGTGCAACGACGCGCCGGAGAATATTCACTATGGACCGACGACCACGGCGGAAGAGGCGGTCAAGGTGAGAAACAAATAAAGCCCGAACCCCTAACTCTGAAATCCGTCTCCCCTCCCCCACTCCCCCCACTCTCTTTCTGTGCAACGACGCGCCGGAGAATATTCACTATGGACCGACTACCACGGCGGAAGAGGCGGTCAAGGTGAGAAACCAATAAAGCCTTATCCCTGAAAGTCTAACCCCTGAGTCCCGAACCCTGAAACGGGCCTTCCCCGTGTTTATGTGCAACGACGCGCCGGAGAATATCCATTATGGCCCGACGACCACGGCCGAAGAGGCGGTCAAGGTGAGCCGTTAAAACCCTCAAACTCTGAGCCCCGAATCCCGAAATGCCTTAGCACTGAACCCGTAACCCGAAATCATGACATCCCTGAAACTGATCACGCCCTGTTTCTGTACAATGACCCACCACGTCTCCCTTCGCCATGCATATCAGCCGCGCATCAGCCGCTTCCCCTTTCCCCCCTTCCCCACCCACGCCCACTTCCCCCTATTCTCCACCCCGCTCCCCCCTTCTCCGCCCCGCTCCCCCAGATCCTCTGTAAGAAGCTGCAGGTCTCCGCCACCTCCCCCTTCGCCTTGTACACCAGCCGCGCCACGCGCCCGCTCGTCGGCTCCGCGGCCCCCGCCGGCTCCGCCTCTCCCGCGCCCGGCGGAAAGAAGGGCGCCGCCATCCCCCCAGCCGTCGCGGGTGAGTGTAACGGGCAATCTGTTTGCAAGGCGTGTAAGACTGCTCGGTTGAATTCGCTGCTGCTGCTGTTTTGTCCCGTACTTTCCCCACACGCCTACTGTCCCCGCCCCCACTGCCCTCCCCCCATGCCAGAGCACGTGCTGCTGCCCCGCAGCGCGTACATCTCGGACCTTCTCGTCGATTACGGCACCGCGGCGCAGGTGGGGCAGTCGCGCGGGCAGCAGGTGGTGTGCAAGCTGCTGCTGCGCAAGCGCTGGTTCGATTTTTGAGTCGACTTAAAAACCGACTCATCACAAGCAGGTGGTGTTCAGGCTGCTGCTGCGCAAGCGCTCTCCCTCATCCCACCCTGTTTCCTCTCACCCTTCCCCCCTCTCCACGCCAGAGCACGTGCTGCTGCCCCGCAGCGCGTACATATCGGACTTACTAGTCGACTACGGCACCGCGGCGCAGGTGGGGCAGTCGCGCGGGCAGCAGGTGGTCTGCAAGCTGCTGCTGCGCAAGCGCTGGTTCGACCGCGCCGATGCTGACGTGGCGGAGCGCCAGTTCGTGCGCCTCTGCTACGTGCAGCTGCGCCGCGACTACATGGAGAGCCGCTACCTCGTCACCGCGGAAGGCGCGGTGGTGTTAGCCGCACTCCAAATCGCCGCGGAAATTGGCGTCATTCCCGACCCGCTGGACGCGCCGTGAGTCTCTTGGGTTGTCTGGGTGACTGGGATGGGCTGGGCTGGGCTGGGCTGGACTGGGTTGGGCTGGGTTGGGCTGGGTTGGGTTACTGGGTGTGGTGGCTCTGTTACGTGCAATTGCGCCGCGACTACATGGAGAGCCGCTACCTCGTCACCGCGGAAGGCGCGGTGGCGTTGGCAGCGCAGCGCAGCGCTGCAAATCGCCCGCGGAAATGTAGCCGTTATCCACCAAGAGCTGGTTTCTCGTGACTGATGAGATTCCTTTCCTCCCCTCCCATCCCTCTCTTCTCCCTTCAACAGCGAGTGGCTGGCGCTGATGACTAAATCCGTGCCGGCTATTGTATCGGGTGCAATGAGCGAGGATGAGTGGGCTAAGGTTGACAGGCCCCCAAACTCCCCTATCTGCATCCCCCCTCCTCTCGCTCCCTCCCATGTCCCTCTTAACCTGCAGCGAGTGGCTGGCGCTGATGACTAAGTCCGTGCCGGCTATTGTATCGGGCGCCATGAGTGAGGACGAGTGGGCCAAGCAGATCGCCGCCCAGTACAAGACGCTGGTGAGTGTGCCGCCCAGCAGGACGGTCAGTGCCGCCCAGAAGACTGCCGCCCATTTGTGATCCGATCCGTATCCCTCCTTTCGTGTGCCGTCCAATACGCCTAGACTCGTTGAACCGCACTGAACCGTGTAGAACCATGGTGTCTCACTCATGCATGTTGTCCCCTCTCCCCCCCCTTTGTTCCCATCTGCAGTGGTCTCTAGACCATGAGGGCACGATGCGTGAGTTCACGCGAATCATCCTCGACAGCCCGCACGGCGGGTCTGTGTTCTTCCCCCTCCCCTCTAATGCTGTGTCCCCTTCTCCCCACCTCCGTCCGGCTGTGTGCAGTGGTCTCTGGACCATGAGGGCACGATGCGTGAGTTCACGCGAATCATCCTTGACAGCCCGCACGGCGGGTCTGTGTTTTTCCCCCTCCGCCCGCACCCGGACATTGCCGCGTCCTTCCCCAAGCGGATGGAAGTGGGAATCAACCACAACGGGGTGAGTCGGTGTGCTGTGTAGAGTACGTACGTAGGCAAGCCTTCACACCCTTACCTTCCTACTCCCCTCTCTTCTATCCACCCCCTGCCCAAAACAGCTCCACTTCCTCGACCCGGAGGACCATTCACTCGTGCTAGAGGCGGAGCTGAAGGACATTGCAGAGTATGCCGGCAAGCCACCTCCTCACCCTGCACTCCCCTCTTCTCTCCACCACTCTACTGCTCCCCAAACAAACAGCTCCACTTCCTGAACCCGGAGGACCATTCACTCGTGCTAGAGGCGGAGCTGAAGGACATTGCAGAGTATGCCGGCAAGCCCGGGCGAGTCTACTTCTCGCTGCTCATGCGCAACCAGCTGTGCTCACTCGAATTCGCCACCAAAGGGGTGAGTGGGGTGTGAGTGGGTTGGGACGAGTGTGGGCGAGTCTACTTCTCGCTGCTCATGCGCAACCAGCTGTGCTCACTCGAATTCGCCACCAAAGGGGTGAGTGGGGTGTGAGTGGGTTGGGACGAGTGTGGGCGAGTCTACTTCTCGCTGTTCATGCGCAACCAGCTGTGCTCACTCGAATTCGCCACCAAAGGGGTGAGTGGGGTGTGAGTGGGTTGGGACGAGTGTGGGCGAGTCTACTTCTCGCTGCTCATGCGCAACCAGCTGTGCTCACTCGAGTTTGCCACCAAAGGAGTGAGTGAGGTTGGGGGTGAATGGAGTGGTGGGTGGGAATGGATGATGGGAGGGAATCATAGGGAGAGGAGATCGCCCAGCGTAGGACCGTCACACCGAGGTGACTGTTGGGTCGACTCAAAAGACACCTCATGCACAGCCAGCTCTGCTCGCTTGAGTTTGCCACCAAGGGGGTGAGTGAGGTTGGGGGTGGATGGAGTGGTGGGTGGGAATGGATGATGGGAGGGAAACACAGGGCTAGGGAAACACAGGGCGAGGGAATCACAGGGAGAGGAGATCACCCAGCTGTTGGACCGTCAAACCGCGAATGCCAATCGTCAAGCAATTCCGCAATACCCCCAAACCCTGCGCCCTTTCCCTCTAATCTCTCCTCACAGGGCGAGGAGATCACTCAGCTGCTGGACCGTCACATTGCCAATGCCGTTCGGCAGGCAATCCACTCCTTGCATCCCCCTCTAACCTGTTTGCTCCCTCCCTTGTACCACAGGGCGAGGAGATCACTCAGCTGCTGGACCGTCACATCGCAAATGCCGTTCGGCAGGCAAGAGGCGAGCACGTGGGAGTGGAGAGCGAGAGTGGTATCGAGGAAGAGGAGGAGAGGAGCATGGGGAGGGGGGGGGCGGTGGAGAAGGGGAGGGTGATGGTGAGGCAAGAGGGGCTGCTGATGCCGTCTCTCCGCATGTCACAGGGCGCGGCAGCAGCAGTTTCCCATGGCTCTTCACGGCCACGTTACGCTTGATGTGGCTGCTTAGTGGGCCCCTCACAAAGAGGGGGAGAGGAGGGTGGGCGGGGAGGGGAGCGAACGGGAGGGTGATGATGGTGCGGCAGGAGGGGCTGCTGATGCCGTCTCTTTCCATGTCACAGGGCGCGGCAGCAGCAGCGGTTTCTCACGGCTCGTCACGACCGTGTTATGCTTGATCTGGTTGCTTAGCGGGCCCCTCATGAAGAGGGGGAGGGGGGCGGTGGAGAAGAGGAGAGGTGATGGTGAGGCAGGAGGGGCTGCTGATGCCGTCTCTGAGCATGTCACAGGGCGTGGCAGCAGCAGCCGCAGTAGCAGGGGTTTCTCACGGCTCGTCTCGGCAGCGTTACGCTTGATTACTTTTGAGACGTCTACAGTGGCGAGGGTAATGGTGCCTTGCTATGCTTGACTTGACACGTACATGATAGGCTGCTACAGGAGTCTCAGATCGTAGGATTTTTTGGTAATAATGCCTTCTTAGCTGTTGTGGTATTGGGTGTACATCTGTACACTTTATTGCTGCAAATGGTTTAGGGATTGAGAGAAGTGTTAAGTTTCGTAGGTGGGAAATCGGACTATGGGTGGATAAAGAGTTTGTTGTAGTGTGCTGTGTATGTGTTCATGCTGAGTGTCCCTGATTCAGCATGTTTGTGTATGTACACTATTTGCTGGGACCAATTAACGTTTGACTGCGCGGGGGTTCAATGAATATTGGAACAAACGATTTGGGGCAGCAGTTTTGAGTTACTACTCACCCGGCTTGGTGTTGGGCTACGCGCGTACATGAAGGAGGAGGGGAAAAGAGTTAAAGCCACGGTCTCACATCTGGTTGATATGGTGGCGGAGCTTCGGCAAGAATCGATGAGAAATCCGGCCTGCTCACGTATGACGATGCTGTTAGCAGAAAAAGAGGTGCAGCTTAAAGAGTACCATGTGGCTAAGAAGGACCGGGTGCAGCTGATGACGGGACTACGGGTGGAGCTCACCAGTGAAATGCCGTCCCCGCATCTGTCAGCAATGGTAAAGGCGAGGAAGGAAAGCACGCAAATCGCGGAGCTACAGACAGCGAGCGGCGCAGTCTCGGACTCTAGAGGGATCTTGGAGGCAGCATCGGCTTTCTTCGCGGGTATTTTCGGAGAAGACAGATGCCGTCTTAAGGAGAACTGGAAGCCGATAAAAGGGAAAAAGCTGGAGAAGTGGGAAGCAGAGGAGCTGGCAGCTGACTGGACAGAAGAAGAGGTGAAGGCAGCCTTTGGAGCGATGGCGGCTAACAAATCGCCTGGAAAGGATGGGTTGCCGAAAGAACTGTTTGAAGCGCACTAGGACCTGCTGGGTAAAGGATTTATGGCAATGGCGAAGGACTTCGCGGCTTCTGCTTCACTCTCCACCGATGTCAAAGAAGCCATTACGATACTCCTGCACAAGAAGGGGGACAAGCAGGGCCTCAGATTTCAGGAATTTTACCCTGATTTCCTGAAGTTTGACCCCAGTTTTTTTTTGTGACCCTGATCTATCAGCCTTTTTCTTTTTACAACCCTGATGAATCAGTGTTTTATGTTTCCAAGGACTGATTTTCCAGTGTTTCCTGTTTGACGACACTGACGAATCAGTGTTGTATCGGAGACGACCCTGAAACCAAAAACTCCGTGATGCTCGCTGTTTTGCGCGCCGTCATCATTCATGTACCCACCCTGCACCGACACCACCATGCGGCTCGCCCAGATACAGCTGAACGGGGTATTTCGTGCTGGGTAGGCAAAACGGCGCAAAGAGATTGGCTGTCCAAGCTGATCCAAACGGCGCAAAGAGATTCGCTTTTTTTAAGTTATTTTAATTGTGGCTGTAGATTCACTGATCAGTGTTTTCTTACAAGGCACCCTGTTTGATCAATGTTTCTTTTTCAACAACCCTGAGAAATCAGTGTTTCTCCACAGGCAACCCTGATGATCAGTGTTACAGCCCCAAGGGACCCTGAGTGCTCAGGGTCACCCAAAACGAATCTGAGGCCCTGGGGACAAGGATCAGTTGAATAATTATAGACCGATAACTCTTCTAAACTTCACTTACAAAGTGCTGGCGAGGGTGATTGCTGACAGAATGAAGAAGGTGCTGGGAAAGGTGATTTCAGAGGAGCGGTACGGATTCCTGCCGGGGAGAAGACTCACGGACGCAGTGGGATTGATCGCCGATGTGATTGATGCGGCTCGGAACAAGAATAAGGACTGGTTTCTGTTACTCGTTGACTTCAAGAAGGCATATGATTTGGTGTCGAGGGACTACACCTTCAAAATCTTGAGGGAGATGGGTTTTCCGGAGCGGCTGGTTGGCTGGGTCGAAGGTCTGCACAAGGGAACACAGACGCGGCTGTTAATAAACGGATGGTTCGGAGATGGAGTGGAAGTACTATCTGGGGTAAGGCAGGGATGCCCGCTTGCTCCGTACCTGTTCCTCTGCGCAGTAGAACCGTTGGCGCAAGAGGTGTGGCGGAAAAATCTGGGGCTCAGCAAGGCGGACGAACGTCTCTCGTATATCGGGTATGCTGACGACACCACACTGATTCTGGAGGGGAAGGAGCAAATCATTAAGGCGGAGAAGGTACTGGAGAAGTTTAAGCTTACCTCGGGGCTGGAGACGAATGTGGAAAAGTCAGTCATCCTGCCGCTGGGCGATAACCTGCACAGGCACTCATGCAGACCACAGAGTTTCCGTTGGGCGGGAGCGGATGAGGCAGAGAGACTGCTGGGGATTTGGGTAACACCGGCAGGATGTTGTCAGCCAACGTGGGAGAAGGCGGGGGCAAGCGCGGTCGGAAAACTTAAAACATGGGAGAAGAATTATCTTCCGACGAAGGCGAGAGCGGCGGTGGTGAACGGCTACTCTATGTCGGTGGTGGCGTTCCAAGCACAAGTATATCCGCCGCCGCCAGTAACCTGGAATGCGCTCTCCAAGACGTTCCAGAACTTTGTATCCGGGAACAAGGCAATGGCTAACAGGGTGTTCCGGTTGTGGAGCAAGGATCTCCTACACACGTCAAGGGAGGATGGGGGAGTTGGAGTATGTGACCCGGAGATGATCCTTGCTTGTCTCTCGGCAAGGAGGGTGGGGCTGCTGATCACGGAGAAGAACGTGCTCAAGAAAGAGATCATGATGTGGGCGGATGAGCTTCCTATGGGCATTGAGTCCTTTTTCGCGCATGATAAACTACTGCGGCGATGGGAAGGACGTAGTGCTCGGTGGAAAATTGCGTGCGAAAAAAATATGAAGTCGCCGCTGGGGGAGCTGCCGGAGATTGTTACTCGAGAGGCTTCGGAGGGAGAGCGGATAGTGTTTAACAGGCGTATTCTCCTCAAAGGGTCCACACCAGTTGGAGGACAGAAGGACGCGAAACCTTTGTGGGAGATGAGGCTGGGACACTTGATCAGCTACGACAAGGAAAGAGTTCCCACGCTAAGAGGGATGGAGTCACTGGAGAAGGAGCTGGGGGGGGAAAGGACCAGCTAGGCTGGCGCTGAAGGCCTTCGAAGCGGCTCCTGAGACATGGCGGACTCTGCTGCTAGACGGTTCCTACAAAGAGCAATCAAACCCTAGCACGGTTGGCTCTCATCGCAGGAGATACATCCCGCCTGGAAGAGATTTCACGCTTCTACCGATCTTTGAGAAGGGGAAGGTGGTGCCGATGAGGCAGCTGAAAAAGCTGTGGAAGAAAGGGCAAAAGGCATCAGTGAAGCAGCAACAGTGGTCGGGCAGGTGGAATGGGAAGATTGATTGGAAAGGGGCAATCTCGGTCAGAGAGTCCCTGGCTACTCCAAGCAGGCCAAGGGATGTTTTGTTAAGGGTGCATAACCTTAACCTACAGGTGGGGGAACGACTGTCATTTCTAAGTGGACAACCGAAATGCCCGCACTGTGGGGGAGAGGAGACTTTGGAACATTGCCTCTACGACTGCCCCAAAATCCATGCGGTGATTACAGCACTCAAACGGGCTCTTCGTATGATCAACAGCTCGAGGTCGATTTCGTCGCTAGGGGACCTTCTCTTCCAGAAACCATGCTCCAGCTCAGCATTTCCAGAAGCGACAATAATTGCCATCACACTCCACCAGGTGTGGTTGGAGCGCTGTCAAGCTGCTTTCAGAGGGCGGAGGTTCAGGACGAAACGGGTGTTGAGGAGGATTGAGCTGGCTTTCCGGCAACATGCAAGGGTGTACATGCGGGCAAAGGAGGATGTACGAAGGAGGCGAGTGGCTACGGACAATAAGGGATCGTTTCGGCGCGCAAGAGAGGAGGAGATAAGATTGGTAGATAAACTGAGGGACAGTAGCAGCAAGAAGTGGAAGTGGAACAGTGCGTTTGCTGCCATCTGGCAGCTGCCGAGGAACAATCACAGACCACCATAGTTGTCAATCTGGGGTAGCCACGTAGCTGCCTCTCACGCACAGTTACGACTGTTATTGTTGTATACATCTGCTGTACTTGGAGTATATATCAATTACAAAAAGAAAAAAGAAAAAAAATGGAAGATTAGTACACACTTGCACCTGTGCAATGCCCAGCATTTTTGCCAAAATCACATGTCACAATAGACTGCAGAGCAATCGCAATGCACCATATGCACCATCAGTACCACTAGTGTGTTAGGTAGATTGGAGTGCTAAATGGATGTTCATTTCGAAGAAATCAGGTGTTGTACATAGAAACACATCTACGTGTTGAGTGGGGGTTTTATGTGTGCTGCATTTGGGTTCTTTTTGGCAGTTTCATCTTCCAACTTCCTTAGCCAACTAGTCTACATCGGGACCGTTTGTCGAAGAGTGTAAACGGTTCATGAATCCTGCGTCACTTGCCTTGTGAAAAAAAGCTCGGTATGAAACACATCTACGTTCTGGTATAGTCATGATATTCGACTCATTAATGAGCTAGTGTTAGATGTTGAATAAGATGTGCTGTACTGTATTGAATAACAATTTTATTGACGATTTGTGTAATGTGAAGCTCCATTCCATATTTAGTTGGTGCCTCCCTCCTTGACGTTTGCAGCTGTACATTGACTATCTGTAGTTGACAGTACGAATTTCGTGACTGCCTTGTAAAGCGACAGTTCAAGAGGCTGCGGTGAGTGGACTGGTGTTCGTTTGCTCCCTGTCGTCTTGCGTCGTGTTTGGCGTCCATTCATTCACTTGTAACCTACTTCTCTTCGCTTATCAAATCGCCTAATCTAACGAATGAGTTTAACGAACCACAGTGAGAACGTATGCCAACCTTGACGAAAAAGATCCATCAAAAGTCCGAAACCCAGACGTTTCAGGTGAAAGTTTGTCTTTTCTTTGACCTCCGAACACCTGCGCTTCCCCCACTCGGCCTACCCAACCCACTCGTACTGATGCCCTCAACAACCCCCGTCCAGATTTTCAGGTGTGACGCAGCAGAACAGGTGGCCACTGTAGCGGGACAGAGACTCCCAGGTCGAGCGGAAAATCGCCCGCACGTCTTTTGTCTCCCTTCGTTTGTCGCTTAGCGCCAAGCGTTTCCTCTCTCCCCCTTCGTGCTGCACCTCCCCTCTCCCGCACCTCCACGCCCCAACTGCGTAGTGCTCTCAAAACATCGTCTCATTTTCCATCTGGATCTAGAACTACACACAACCACCCCAGTAGTGATTCCCCTAACGTCAAGTCAATTACCATTTTCGACAGGTGCCTCAACTCCATTCTCCATCTTAGCATATTGTGGGACAAACCCTAGATCCATTCTTGGCAGCCATGGCAAGCACACGCGTCCTCCTGGTTTCGCTCCTCATCGTATTGGTCTCCGCGCAGTTCGCTAGCGGGCAGATTCGTAGGAACGCGTGTCTGCCCAAGGACAAGTGCCCGGACAGAAAGAGCAAGCTTTGCGGCCTCTACGCCACATGCAGGACGCTGCAGAGCATTATCCCCGATACCAACACCTGCGACGACTGCGCTGCTTACGACCTGTACGACAGACTTAGCAAACACCTCCCGTTTAGTCCATCAAATAGCCGTTTGTGCGACAGCTCCGTCTTTTCTGTTGATGTACCCGATTGTCAAATGCCTCTTTATTAAAGCGTAGCTCCTCGATCTGACGTCCTCACATGCTTCGTTTGAAGCCAGATCTTGCGGTTGGGTTTTCATTTCTTACATGCATCGTCTCGTGCGTGATTTAATCGTGCAGGAAGAAGATGCCCGCTAGCGCCTGCAATTACACAACAGGTCGCTGCCTCGCCAACAAGATTGTAAGTACTTTCTCTTCCCTCGAGTTTGCTTGCTGCACAGGACTTTCAGTTCTGACCTTTCCATCGTCATACTGTCATTCGCAGGCCGGTAAGGCGTGCACCGCCAAGCAGTTCAACACGGTCTGCGACAAAAAAGAGCCCGCTTTCACTTGCCTTAAGGTCGAGGGTGTTCCCGTCACTAAGAAGGCACCCCAGGCATATCGCTGCTGCAGGAGGACTTGCCCCGTTGGCCTGTGCGGCAAGGGTTCGAAGCCGATCTCTTGGAGGAATGAGTGCAATGTTGTGCTCGACTGCCCCACTGCATGCGCTCCTCGTGCCGCGAACGCTGTCCAGGTTACATATTTGTAATCTGGTTACTCCATTGACCTTTTCCGTATAAACTACACACTGTACCATGTTTCTATTCTGGTTTCGTTCTTTTGGTTTCCGTAGGTGAATTTGTTGTGAAACCTTGAAGGGCATATTAATTAAGAATGTCCAGCTTTTTCAGTCATTTTTCGTTCATGCAAAGTACACGTTTCTAATGGGGAGCCTGATCTCGCAGCGGACATATTATCCTGAAGATATCGGCATACCTTTGCAATACTCGCGTACGGTATTCTAAACGGAAATTCCAACCACATTTTAATAAATCAAATGAACCACATGAGTTCACAGCTCTGCAACTAATTCCTATTTCACAAATGAAACAAATGACTGTAAACCTTTCTTCTTTCGGTTGGATGTCACAAATGACTGCACACCTGTTACTTCAACCACTTGGCTCAGGTGTGGTTTCGATGTGCGGAATGCCCAGGTGCATTGACATTTCGAACCGCGTGCGATTTATTTACAATGACGAGTCGGTTTACAATTCGTCAGCAACGTCAGCGCGTTTCATGCTGACCAATTAAAAATACAGTAATGGCCGCTAAAAGGCGACTGAGACATTTGTGTCGACACAGGAATGCACCCTTAGTCTTTGGATGTGAGGACAAGAATAGCGAGAACACCGATGAGAATGAACTGTAAGTTGCAACGCAGGGGACAGGCAAAATGGAGGCAGAGACGTTTCATAATACCACGAGTAACATTGACATGCCTAAAACCAGAACCAAAGCAACGAAACAAGCGTTCAACATATGTACAAAGCAAACAAGTGTAGTGAAGGAACAATAAAAAGGAGGAACAAATGCAGTGCAAGTGCAACTTGTGTGGAGGAAGGAGGGAAGGGGGGGGAGGGCAGGGCGGGGAGAGCATATGGTATGGAGGCAGGAGATATGGGCGGGGCGGGGGGAGGTAAGGGAGGGTAAGAGTATGGGGGAAGAGGGGATGTACAGGGTATGTTGTGTTGAACTACTTTGATGTTATCATAAAAAAGGGTAAACTGTATTACTATACCTTGATGTAGGGGTGTTCAGTCATGATAATGGTGACGTAGCCGATATAGGGGAGGTACCTGCATCGGCGAAAAGAAGGGGCACAGCGCATTAGCACACATGGGCAAAGGAACAGCTGATGCCTGCACTCACCTAGTTACCCCATCCCACCACACCTCATGCACGCCCCATGCACGCCCCATGCACGCCCCATGCACGCCCCATGCACGCCCCGTGCACGCCCCATGGATGTTCAACTCACCCCATGGCGCGCCCAATGATGTGCTTCTTGCGCAGCCACAGCTGCCCTTCCGCATACAGTGGCAGATCGTCCCCTTCGTTATTGTCACCTGCAGGCGCACAAAAAGAGAAAAACACACACACACACACACACACACACACACACACACACACACACACACACACACACACACACACACACACGCGCACACGCACACGCACACGCACACGCACACACACACACACACACACAAACACACACACACACACACACACACACACACACACACACACACACACACACACACACACACACACACACACACACACAAGAGTTATTAAACAAAACCAACCAAGCATGGTGCAGCATGAAGACACCCTACAACACGTGCACGCTATGCATGTTAGACACAGTCACCAGCAGAGGGGCACCAGGGCAGGGAGGAGACAGGAAGGAGAAGAGGCATGCGGGAAAGAGGAAGAGAAGTGAAAGGAGGGAAGCAGGAACGGAACGAGTTGAGGAACGAAGAGGGAATGCGAATTGCTGGCATACACTTAGTGAGCGCCAGAATTTTCTGCGACGTTCAGAGCAAGGGTGCCTCGCCTACTGTTAGAAAAAAGATCCTCCAGCCTACCCTTTGTGAGTGCCTGAAACTCGTCAGGGTCGGCCTCTTGGTGGACCTGGGGATGGTGTGAAGAGGCGGAAGAGGGTGTGCGAGAGGAGGGAAGAATAGTGTGACATGTCAAGTGGCAAGAAAGTAAATTCAGTGATCGAAATTCTGAGCCAAGGATGGTATAAATGGTCAAAGACAAGTAGGGGTTCAGAAAGAAAACATCAATATAAGATACTGAGGTTAGAACTAAAGAAAATGTGATGATGCATCTGAGAATGGGGTGAATCAATGTGCACGTTTTGGAGTTGGGAAAGCAGATGTACCTTGATCACACGGTGCACAATGGGAATGTCTCGACCCTGTGTGTGTTAAAAATAAGAGAAAAGGGAAGGGTATTGCACGGAAAAGTGGGAGAGAACCTTTTTTATTATTATTATTGAAAGTTAATCATGTAGAAGTTACTGCAGCATCGCATGGTAGCACAATCCAATTCAGTTAATACAAGTGTAAGTGTTGAAAACGGAAGGAAAGAAAAAAAGCATGCAAGACTTGCATTTAAGCGTTACGTTCATGCAGCGACATGTGCGATCCAACATTATGTGGCAAGCCTCATATCCACGTGGCATGACTCACATCCACGTTGAAGACCACAATCTCCCCCACAGAGAGCGGCGTTGGGTTCATGTGGAGAAAGAGAATGTCGCCCTGCAAGGGAGGGAGGGAAGGGGGAAGGAGGAAGGGGGAAGGGGGAAGGGGGGGGGAGAAAGGATGGGGGACGGTTTTGAGAGGCGTGGGGTTGTGGAGAAAGAGAATGCCGCGCAGCACATGGAAAGGAGGGAAAGAGGAAGGGAGGAGAGAGACGTGAGATGAAGCATGGAAGGGAGAGGAATGATTTCCCTGACCACTAGCACAGATGCAACACATGCACCACTAGCACAGATGCAACACATGCACCACTAGCACAGATGCAACACATGCACCACTAGCACAGATGCAACACATGCACCACGACGACACTGGTCCATCTCAAGCTTTCATGTAAGCGTTACAATCCCATAACGTTGCTACGAACGCAGAGAAGCTCGTACGCGTTTTAAGCTGGGTTCCATGGAGCGCCCGAGCACGATGACAATACAAGGGGGTTTCATTCCATAAGAGGGACTAGGAGAGGGGAGGAGGCACACGTGCATAAGCCCGTGTATACTACTCGTTATAAGGCCAGGGCAACTCTTACTCGTTTGAAGCCGGGTTCCATGGAGCCTGAGAGCACGACGACAACTGGCGACTCGCTATTGGTCCAGCACATGAGGCCCTTCCAGATGACCAGCGCTGACGTCACTATCATGCCTGGAAGACGTGGAACAGCGGGGATGGCGAGAGAAGAAACGGAGGGGAGAGATGGGGGGATGTAGGGAGGAAGCGCGGAGGGAAGGGGAAATGGTAGGGGAGAGAGGGAGAGGGAGAGGCACAGAACGAGGGAGAGGGAGAAGGAGACCGAGAGGGAGAGGGAGAGGGAGAGGGAGGGAAGGGAGACGGAGAGGGAGGAAGAGAGGAGTGTTATGGGTGAAAATAGTGAGACGGGAAGGCAGAGAGAGGGTAACAGACAGCTTTAAGCCATTACGAGACCCAGGTTTCGTGCCATAATATTTTGCGAAGTTAGTCACGGGAGGGTTCACTGAAGGGGGAATTTAGTCATGTTTGGGCTGCAAAAAAACACAGAAATTAGTACTAATTTGCCTTCCGCTTCCCTGAGTCAAATTTCCTTTAGAAAACGGGAAACAGGACCTTAGCAGTTACTATGACAGCGATACGGGTTCAGATCCTTGCAAAAATCTAGAGGACCAGACAAATCTTGCCATAAATAAAAAGAAACACTTTTCACTTACATCATTCGACACAGGCAACGCTAGGGAGAAAAGGGAAAAACAGAAACAGCGTATACAAGCGCTTGATATCAGTATTAACACGCATCCAGGCCGCGGGGATGGTTCGGGCTCGCTGGATTGACCAGACGGAACCAAACCATACCTAATTGTCGAGTCGACGCGCACACTCTCATGCCGGCGAAGATGTGCCTTGCGAATCGGCCGATTTACATGACGCGCAAAGTCATTCTAGCAACAAATCGCATGTAGCGACCGATCGCACGCACCTAACCCGAGCGCCTGCATAATAAAGTGTCGCACGCTCATCGCGTCGTTCGAGAATCAAACAAAAACACCTGCAACAACAAAAAGTAATTCTAGCGACCGATCGCGTGCACGTACCTAACCCGAGGGCCTGCATGATGAAGTGTCGCACGCTCATCGCGTCGAACCACCCGCCGGTAGACATCCGGCCGGCCGACAATAGCCAGTTACAGCAGCAGCAAACGGTGGTGATGAGACGAGTAATTTAACCCACAGCAGTCCCAGGAATGTACGGAGAACTAGCCGTAGGATGCGGGATGCACGTAGATCCCAAGGCTGAACAAGCCTGCAGTTTCCAACAATAAAATTCCTGCCAGTACAGGTTTTACTGGGAGCTCCGCTAGAGGGGTTACTCTCTAAACTGTTAGGAAGAACCCTTTCAAATATAGTGTTCAAGTGGAATTCAGGTTCTGATAATAAGCTAATAGATTACGTCATTAGGTTACCAGGTAGGAGGACCATCTGGACATTTTACATAATCAGTTTCTTTAAACTTGATACCTACTCATACGGTTCTGACATTTCTTTGGACATTTCATCCAACAATATACACAACATAAAAGAGTGCCTATCGTACCGTCCTACCTAGTTCGACAACCTATCTACACATCACCAATCAGCTGCTGCCATGCTCACCACATAACTAATTCGTTCTAGGTTGCCCTCTGGAGCACCAATCGCAGCATCCAAAACCCCGGGGACCCCAAAAAGCGACGAATAATATTCCACAACATCCATCTCATTCTGTTCCTCCCTCCTCTCACCACCCTCAGCCTTCTCATTCTTGAACTTGTCTTGATCTCCCAACCTAAGTCTACACTCCTGGCCACACACATCCAACATCTCTTCTCTCCCGGTCGCCCACATCATGGCATCAGCGATTTCAGCTGCCACCCACGCATCATCTACCTCTTCCCTCTCCTCCTCCCACCCTACCCACTCCTCCCCACCAGCACAAGCACCCCCTTCCCCACTTTCCGCTCTTCCTCCCCATGGCCCTTGGTCAAGCAGCCTTTCATCTCTCTTAGCGAATTCATCTGTAGCAAGAGGAGCATAGCTTGGAAGAAAAGAGGGGTTGTGAGCTGCACCCGGGGAGTCCACAGCAGAACTTAGCGAGACGTGCTTAGCTAAGTGATGGGCTGCTGAATCCACTGCTGAGTCGGTGACGGCTGTCGAAGCAGATGCCTCTGCAGATGCTTCAGAGGCAGCAGATTCTGCTGATGCTCCTGATGAGGAGGAGGAAGAAGGCTCGGGGGAGCAAGGGCGAGGGGAGCACGAAGAGGAGGTGTCGACTGATCCGCAGCTGTTAGGAGCAGCAGGGCTATAGAGGGCATGCTCTTGGCGTAGCTGCTGCTGCTGCTGCTGCTGCTGCTGCTGCTGCTGCTGCTGCTCTTGTTCGTCCCGGTGATGTTGATGCTGCAGCAGGTGATGGTGGTGGTGGTGCTGCTGCTGCTGCTGCACCTGCGGTTGTTGCTGGTGGTGGTGGTGAGGATGGTGGTGGTGGTGGTGCTGCTGCTGCTGCTGCTGCAGGTGATGGTGGCAGTCGTGGTGGTAATGCTGCTGCTGCTCTTGCTCCTCCTCCCCGTCCTCCTCCTCTTGCTGTTGTTCCTGCCCCCCCTGCTGCATCCCCACTAGGGGTGATGTCACCGAGCAACCAGGCGACCCTGTTCCTCTCTCTCCCCTATCCTCTCCCAATCTCCCCTCCTCCTCCACCGAGAAGGAAAGGAAAGAGGACTCAGACGAATGCTCCATACCGCCTCGCACCCCATTCTCACCAGTCGCAATAGGCTCTTCACCATGAATCGTTTGGGGCGCCGCAAAGAAAGGGTCCATACCGTCTTGCACCGCATTCTCACCAGTCGCAATTGGCACTTGACCATACATCTCCCCCTCAGCACGCCTTTCCTTGTCTCCACCCTCGTCTCCACCCTCGTCTCCACCCTCCTCTTGTTCAGACTCCTCACCTGCGCCCTCACCTCCCCGTCTATCTTCTCCCTCTTCCCATCCCTCATCCTCCCTTAATGCCTCTCGCTCTCCCACTCCTCCCCCATCGTCTCCCCCCTCCCACACCACCTGCCCACTGTCTCGTTCAGTGAGACCAGCTATGTGCATGCCTGAGTCGGCGGATGTTGCCGATGCTCGAGCTGCAGTGGTGTAACCAATGGGGAATAGGGAGAGGGAGGAGGAGGGGAGGGGAGAGACAGGGAGGTTAGCAATGCAAGTGTGAGTGTGTGACTGTGCCTGTGTACTACAAGTGGCCACACCACCTGCCCAATGTCTCGTTTAGTGAGTGAGCCCAGCTGCATGCATGTCTGAGCCGGCGATTGTTACAGATGCTCGAGCTGTCGTGGTGTTATCATGCCCATGCCCGTGTGTCATGCCCATGCCCATGCCCATGCCCATGGATCTGACTCCCCAGGAATGTACACACATGCAAGCATAACAGTACCTGCTCCCGACGCTCGTTCGTGTCTCGGCCCAGCTGTCGACATGCCATGTCCATGCCCGTGAATCTGACTCCCCTGCACAAACTCTGCTACAGCCACCGCTACATCCGGCTGTGCCGCCCTGTCTAGCAGCGCAAGGAAGTCAGTCAGTTCCTGTGGCAGTGCAAGGGATGAGATGAGAGGGGACAGAGAGAAGAGGCAAACTGTGAGGTGAAGCTACAACTGGCTGTGCTGCCCTCTCTAGCAGCGCAAGGAAGTCCGTCAGTTCCTGTGGCAGTGCAAGGGATGAGATGAGAGGGGACAGAGAGAAGAGGCAAACTGTGAGGTGAAGCTACATCTGGCTGTGCTGCCCTCTCTAGCAGCGCAAGGAAGTCCGTCAGTTCCTGTGGCAGTGCGTGTGGGGGATGGACAGGGGAGCTTGTGGCAGTGCGTGTCGAGCTTTCTGGCGCCAAAAGAATCTGCCTGCGATGCACTCTCTAGCAGCGAAAGGAAGTCAGTTAGCTCCTTGAGCAGGGCAGGCAGGCGGGTCTTGGGATCGCTGAGCAGTGATGCATACACACTAGACAGGCACATGAGGTCTCAACCCAGCGTACTGAGTCGGGGAGCAAGTCTATGAGGCTTGGCTTCTCAGGAAGGTAGGGCCAATCTGTGCCACCACCTCCCCCAGACACCGCGCTGCTGGCAGGCGGGTCTTGGGGTCCTTGAGCAGTGATGCATGCACACTAGACAGACACATGTCACATGAGAGCCCAACCTAACGTACCGAGTCAGGGAGCGAATCAATGTGAGCTGCCAGGAACACAGGGCCGATCTGTGCCACCACCTCCCCCAGACACCGCGCTGCTGGCAGGCGGGTCTTTGGGTCCTTGAGCAGTGGGAGGAGACGCACGCCCCACTGCCTGATGCTCTTGGCTGGATGGGAGGGAGGGTGGGAGGAAGAAGCATGGGTGCGTTCCCGTGTGAGTGAGTGAAGAATGGAGCGAGCGAACGAGTAAAGCAGGTGAGGGTAGAAAGGAACTCTTTCGACTTGTCTCGAAGTACTTCTTCTGAAACCACCACTCATCACTCCTCGCTTTCGAAGGAACAGGCACTGGAAACTGAGATTTAGTCTAAGCTGACGTAACTAGAGGCTCACGCTCACCTTCCGCTGTGCTCTTTCTGACCCGAGCCAATGCACTCCCACAACGCTGCCTCCCTCCTTCCCCCTCCTCACCCCCGTCCTCCCCCTCCCCTCCCTCCTCTCTCTCCTCCTCTCTCCCCGCCCTCCCCCTCAGCACCTGCTCTGCAAACTCCACCACACACACCCGCACCCTCGGCGCCCTCTGCCCCTCCAACGCCCGCTCCAGCATCACGCATAGCACGTCACTTACCTGACACCAATGGCGCACCTTCCACTGTGTTTTGAGTCGACTCAAAACACGCATAGCACGTCACTTACCTGACACCAATGGCGCACCTTCCACTGTGCTTCTTCTGACTCGGACCGCTGCGTTACCACCACGCTGCCTCCCATTGTGCTCCTCCTCTCCTCCGTTCTCTTCCTCTCCCCCCTCCTCCCTCTCCTCCTCTCTCCCCGCCCTCCCCCTCAGTACTTTCTCTGCAAACTCCACCACACACACCCTCACCCTCGGCCCCCTCTGCCCCTCCAAAGCCCTCTCTAACACCGGCAGCAGCACCTGCACAGCCTCCCCTTCTCCCCATCTCAACCCCTCACCACTCCTCCCCACCTCACCCAACCCCCCATTCACCCCTCCACACCCATCTCCACGCCTAAACCAGCTGTTTAAAGCACAATCCAGTATCCCCTCGGCCTGTGCGCGCATACGGTCTTTCCCAGTGTCAGCCACGCGGGAGAAGAGGGGGGGAAGCCATTTGTCAAGGTGGGGAGGGGTGAGGATGGGCGGGCAGTGCAGCACGAGGTCTTCTAGGAGGGCCAGAGCTGAGGAGGCGACTTTGGTGTGGGCGAACTCCATCCCCGCTACTAGCAGCTCCACTACTCTGTCCAGGTGCTGCCAGGGGTGGAAAGCAGGGGAGAAGAGAGGGGGGAAGCCATTTGTCAAGGTGGGGAGGGGTGAGGATGGGCGGGCAGTGCAGCACGAGGTCTTCTAGGAGGGCCAGAGCTGAGGAGGCGACTTTGGTGTGGGCGAACTCCATCCCCGCTACTAGCAGCTCCACTACTCTGTCCAGGTGCTGCCAGGGGTGGAAAGCAGGGGAGAAGAGAGGGGGGAAGCCATTTGTCAAGGTGGGGAGGGGTGAGGATGGGCGGGCAGTGCAGCACGAGGTCTTCTAGGAGGGCCAGAGCTGAGGAGGCGACTTTGGTGTGGGCGAACTCCATCCCCGCTACTAGCAGCTCCACTACTCTGTCCAGGTGCTGCCAGGGGTGGAAAGCAGGGGAGAAGAGAGGGGGGAAGCCATTTGTCAAGGTGGGGAGGGGTGAGGATGGGCGGGCAGTGCAGCACGAGGTCTTCTAGGAGGGCCAGAGCTGAGGAGGCGACTTTGGTGTGGGCGAACTCCATCCCCGCTACTAGCAGCTCCACTACTCTGTCCAGGTGCTGCCAGGGGTGGAAAGCAGGGGAGAAGAGAGGGGGGAAGCCATTTGTCAAGGTGGGGAGGGGTGAGGATGGGCGGGCAGTGCAGCACGAGGTCTTCTAGGAGGGCCAGAGCTGAGGAGGCGACTTTGGTGTGGGCGAACTCCATCCCCGCTACTAGCAGCTCCACTACTCTGTCCAGGTGCTGCCAGGGGTGGAAAGCAGGGGAGAAGAGAGGGGGGAAGCCATTTGTCAAGGTGGGGAGGGGTGAGGATGGGCGGGCAGTGCAGCACCAGATCTTCCAGGAGGGCAGAGCTGAGGACGCGACCTTGGTGTGGGCGAATTCCATCCCCGTTACTAGCAGCTCCATTACCCTGTCCAGGTGCTGCCAGGGGCAAAACACGGGGGAGAGAAGAGGGGGGAGGGAGGCAGCGGTGGAGGTGAGGAGGGAAGAGGATGGGCGGGCAGTGCAGCAGGAGGTCTTCTAGGAGGGACAAAGCTGAGGAGGCGACTTTGGTGTGGGCGAATTCCATCCCCGCTACTAGCAGCTCCATTACCCTGTCCAGGTGCTGCCAGGGGCGGAAAAGGGATAAAAGGGGAATCTGTGATGGGGCGAACACACTGACATCCCCAGGCATGGCAACACAAAAAGCATGCACCTTCACAACGGCCTGAACACCCTTGCAGCTCACCCCTTCTTCCCCTCTTCCGTCCGTTCAAAATCGATTCATAAACACGCTCTAAACCCACTGCCCAACCCCATGCACGTACCTTCACAACGGCCTGAACACCCTTGCAGCTCAACCCTTCTTCCCCTCTTCCGTCCGTTCAAAATCGACTCATAAACACGCTCTAAACCCACTGCCCAACCCCATGCACGTACCTTCACAACGGCCTGAACACCCTTGCAGCTCACCCCTTCTTCCCCTCTTCCGTCCGTTCAAAATCGACTCATAAACACGCTCTAAACCCACTGCCCAACCCCATGCACGTACCTTCACAACGGCCTGAACACCCTTGCAGCTCACCCCTTCTTCCCCTCTTCCGTCCGTTCAAAATCGACTCATAAACACGCTCTAAACCCACTGCCCAACCCCATGCACGTACCTTCACAACGGCCTGAACACCCTTGCAGCTCACCCCTTCTTCCCCTCTTCCGTCCGTTCAAAATCGACTCATAAACACGCTCTAAACCCACTGCCCAACCCCATGCACGTACCTTCACAACGGCCTGAACACCCTTGCAGCTCACCCCTTCTTCCCCTCTTCCGTCCGTTCAAAATCGACTCATAAACACGCTCTAAACCCACTGCCCAACCCCATGCACGCACCTTCACAACGGCCTGAACACCCTTGCGGCTCACTCCATCTCCCTCCTCTCCTCCCCACGCCGCCTCATCCCCTCCGCCCATCACACACCCCCTCACAGCCTCTAATGCCGCCACCCGTCTCGACCAATCACAACCCTTCCGCAACCCCTCCTCTACCTTCAACCTCATCTCCTCCCCCACATCCTGATGCTGCTGCGGCTTATTTCGCTGTGTCCGATCCCTCCCTCCTCCCCCTGCTGCTCCTACTGCTCCTCCTCTCGCTCCCATGCCTCCCGTTCCACGTGTCCCTCCGATCGCTCCTGCACCTCCTGTTGCCCCCATCCCGCCAGCCCCGTAACTGCTGGCTATACTCCGTCTAGCAGGCCTGGGAGCAGCAGCAGCAGCAGGAGGAGGAGGTAGGGATGCCCGTGCACGAGCAGGGGGGGTTGGGGAGTGGTTGGCGTGTCGTGGTGGCATAGAAGCTCGTGGTGCATGCTGCTGCTGACGGTGCTGCTGTTGCTGCTGCTCATGTGCTGTTTGCACGGCTCCAGGTAGCGAGCCTCTTCTCCTGCTAGCGCCTGCTCCCACTGCTGCTGCTGCTGTTCCTCCCGCTGCTGCTGCATTAGCGCCAGGCCGAACAAGCCCACTTGCTGCTCTCGTCCTTTCCTCACCCATACTCCCCCCAGCCTCCTCACTCACTCGCACTAACCCCCCAACAGACCTCCTCGCATGCACCGCCCTCCTCTCCCCACCAGCACCCCCAACCCCAACCCCCCCAATCCCACCTCCCCCAACTCCGCCTCCACTCACGTTCCCCGTTCGCACCCCAACTCCCCCCTTCCCCTCCGCCTCCCGTTCCCCCAGCGCCCCTCGCCCCACCCGGTTCGCAGCAGTTCCCAGAGGTCTTGAAGGCAGCAGCCCTTCGTGATTGCGGGAAAGCACTAAGCCCTCGAGATTAGTTGATGCAGCAATGCTGTGCCTCTGCCTCCTCGGCCCAACCCCACATGCACCACCTCCCTCAGCTGCTCCCCCTGCTTCTGCTCCTCCACCCCAACCCCCATGGACATTCTCTTTCATAGGAACACTGTCCACAGGAACACCAGCAGAAGCAGCAGTGGTGCGGCTAGCAGAATCGAAGTTTAAAACGCGGACTATCTTGGGGGATAGGTTCGCCTCAGTCCTCCCAGGTGAACCTTCCGCAGATGACACCCCGTCTCTTGCAGAATCGACATCATAATCATCACTCTCAGCAGCGGCAGAACCAGCAGCAGTGTCAGTCTCACTCGTTAATTTCACTCTCTGCGGACCAATCCGATCTCCCCTCCCAGCTGCCCCTGCAGCCCTCGATCCCACAACATCTGCTGCTACAGCTGCTCCTGCTGCTCCTCCCCCTGCTACAGCCCCTCCTCTTTCTCCTCTGAGTCCTCCTCCTCCTCCTCCTCCTCCTCCTCCTCCTCCTCCTCCTCCTCCTCCTCCTCCTCCTCCTCCTCCTCCTCCTCCTCCTCCTCCTCCTCCTCCTCCTCCTCCTCCTCCTCCTCCGCCTGCCCCTGCCACTACCCTCACTGCTGCTGCAGCAGCAGCTGTGACCTGTGCACCCAGCCTCACACCCCGCACCAGCCCCATCCCACCTCCACCTCCTCCTCCCCTTCCTTCCACTCCTCCCCCACCACCGCTTGTAGCAGCAGCACTAGCAGAGGCGAGATCCGCCCTGACAGGCTGACCGGCTGTATAGTTCAAGCTAAGACTCGCCAGCCCCCCCTTTGCAGCCTCCGCTACAGCCACCGTACGAGTTGTACCCGCACCAACAGTAGAAGCTGTAGTAGTAGAGGCTGCAACAGCAGTGGCAGTAGCAGCGGCAGCTGCTGTAGCGGAGGCTGTGGCAGAGGCTGTGGCAGAGGCTGTAGCAGCTGCTGTAGCAGAGGCAGCCTGCCGTCTAGCAGCCATGAGGTTCCCGAGGGCAGCAGAGGAGCGCGGTAGGATGGGCTGGGGGCTGCGCGCACGTGAGGGCGAGGGGCGAGGAGGCGGGTCCTTCTTGGAGTGTGCTGACAGCGCTGCTGACTTGTCCTCCTGAGCCAACACCTGGGACGGAGGAAGGAGAAAGAAGGAAGGGGGAAGGAGCAAGGAGAAATAAGAGCGAGGCAGGATGGGCTGGGGGCTGCGCGCACGTGAGGGCGATGGGCGGGGAGGCGGGTCCCGTTTAGAGTGCGCTGACAGCGCTGCTGACTTGTCCTCCTGAGCCAACAGCTGGGACGGAGGAAAGCGGAAATGGAGAAGAGAAACAGGAGGATAAGAGAAGGAAGCGAGTGCATTGAACTGGCGAGGGGCGGGAAGCAGGGTCCTTTGCGGAGTGGAGTGTGCCCACCTCTCGTGGAGTGGAGTGTGCTGACAGCGCACAAACTCCACTGCCCAGAGGGGAGTCAGCACTTCTAGTCAGCACTTTTTGATTTCGTTCCTTCTCATCCTGCCAACAACCGACGAGTGCACCACCCAATCTCTTAACCTCCTTCCCTCACCACCTCACCACCTCACCACCTCCCCCCCACCTCACCTTCTGCACCGTGACGTCAAACGAGGAGTGCAACTAGGTAGTGAGGGTAGAGCGGACACTGTCAACCAGCCCATTCTCGCTTTCTTTTCCCCTCACCTTCGTAGGTTTTTTGAGAATTCTCAAAAAACATACCCTCCACAAACGCCCCAGCTCCTCACCTTCGTAGAACCTCCACAAACTCCCCAGCTCCTCACCTTCTGCACCGTGATGTCAAACGAGGAGTGCAGCCGGGCGGCCCTCTCCGGCCACAAGTGGGAAAACTCCCGGAAGCTGCGCCTGGCTGTGGCTCGCACCTGGTTAGTCAGCGGGAGAGGAGACAATGCCGGGAGGGAGAGGGAGAGGGCATGTGAACAGAGGGAGAGGGCAATAGCAGGTGAGCGTGGGGCGAACGAGAGGGAGAGGGCAAGTGAACGTGGGCCGAGAGAGAGGGCAAGTGAACGTGGGCCGAGAGAGAGAGCAAGTGAACGCGGGCCGAGAGAGAGGGTTTGTGGACGCGGGGCACGGGAGACATCAGAGTGGCACACCCCATTCCACAGCTTTGCCTCCTTCCTTTGCCGCACCTCCTTCCTTTGCCGCACCTCCTTCCTTTGCCGCACCTCCTTCCTTTGCCGCACCTCCTTCCTTTGCCGCACCTCCCTCCTTTGCCGCACCTCCCACTCTGCCTCGCCTCCCTAGACCTCTCTCATCCCCTCTCACGCCCCCCTTGTTACCCTCTCACCTCTCACTCACTTGCCTCGCTCCATCCTCTCTCCTCTCTCCCGTTCACCTCCCTCGTGCCATCCGCTCACCTCCCGTGTGCCATCCTGCACGCCACTGCGAATGCTGCTCTCAGTCGCATCCACCAGCTCGCCCTCTCTTCCTCTCTCGTGCCCTTCCCTAGTGTCACACATCGTGTATCCCATCATCTCCCACCCTCTCCCTCACCTCCCGCGTGCCATCCTGCACGCCACTGCGAATGCTGCTCTCAGTCGCATCCACCAGCTCGCCCTCTCTTCCTCTCTCGTGCCCTTCCCTAGTGTCACACATCGTGTATCCCATCATCTCCCACCCTCTCCCTCACCTCCCGCGTGCCATCCTGCACGCCACTGCGAATGCTGCTCTCAGTCGCATCCACCAGCTCGCCCTCTCTTCCTCTCTCGTGCCCTTCCCTAGTGTCACACATCGTGTATCCCATCATCTCCCACCCTCTCCCTCACCTCCCGCGTGCCATCCTGCACGCCACTGCGAATGCTGCTCTCAGTCGCATCCACCAGCTCGCCCTCTCTTCCTCTCTCGTGCCCTTCCCTAGTGTCACACATCGTGTATCCCATCATCTCCCACCCTCTCCCTCACCTCCCGCGTGCCATCCTGCACGCCACTGCGAATGCTGCTCTCAGTCGCATCCACCAGCTCGCCCTCTCTTCCTCTCTCGTGCCCTTCCCTAGTGTCACACATCGTGTATCCCATCATCTCCCACCCTCTCCCTCACCTCCCGCGTGCCATCCTGCACGCCACTGCGAATGCTGCTCTCAGTCGCATCCACCAGCTCGCCCTCTCTTCCTCTCTCGTGCCCTTCCCTAGTGTCACACATCGTGTATCCCATCATCTCCCACCCTCTCCCTCACCTCCCGCGTGCCATCCTGCACGCCACTGCGAATGCTGCTCTCAGTCGCATCCACCAGCTCGCCCTCTCTTCCTCTCTCGTGCCCTTCCCTAGTGTCACACATCGTGTATCCCATCATCTCCCACCCTCTCCCTCACCTCCCGCGTGCCATCCTGCACGCCACTGCGAATGCTGCTCTCAGTCGCATCCACCAGCTCGCCCTCTCTTCCTCTCTCGTGCCCTTCCCTAGTGTCACACATCGTTTATCCCATCATCTCCCACCCTCTCCCTCACCTCCCGCGTGCCATCCTGCACGCCACTGATGCTGCTCTCAGTCGCATCCACCAGCTCGCCCTCTCTTCCTCTCTCGTGCCCTTCCCTAGTGTCACACATCGTGTATCCCATCATCTCCCACCCTCTCCCTCACCTCCCGCGTGCCATCCTGCACGCCACTGCGAATGCTGCTCTCAGTCGCATCCACCAGCTCGCCCTCTCTTCCACTCTCGTGCCCTTCCCTAGTGTCACACATCGTTTATCCCATCATCTCCCACCCTCTCCCTCACCTCCCGCGTGCCATCCTGCACGCCACTGCGAATGCTGCTCTCAGTCGCATCCACCAGCTCGCCCTCTCTTCCTCTCTCGTGCCCTTCCCTAGTGTCACACATCGTGTATCCCATCATCTCCCACCCTCTCCCTCACCTCCCGCGTGCCATCCTGCACGCCACTGCGAATGCTGCTCTCAGTCGCATCCACCAGCTCGCCCTCTCTTCCTCTCTCGTGCCCTTCCCTAGTGTCACACATCGTGTATCCCATCATCTCCCACCCTCTCCCTCACCTCCCGCGTGCCATCCTGCACGCCACTGCGAATGCTGCTCTCAGTCGCATCCACCAGCTCGCCCTCTCTTCCACTCTCGTGCCCTTCCCTAGTGTCACACATCGTTTATCCCATCATCTCCCACCCTCTCCCTCACCTCCCGCGTGCCATCCTGCACGCCACTGCGAATGCTGCTCTCAGTCGCATCCACCAGCTCGCCCTCTCTTCCTCTCTCGTGCCCTTCCCTAGTGTCACACATCGTGTATCCCATCATCTCCCACCCTCTCCCTCACCTCCCGCGTGCCATCCTGCACGCCACTGCGAATGCTGCTCTCAGTCGCATCCACCAGCTCGCCCTCTCTTCCTCTCTCGTGCCCTTCCCTAGTGTCACACATCGTGTATCCCATCATCTCCCACCCTCTCCCTCACCTCCCGCGTGCCATCCTGCACGCCACTGCGAATGCTGCTCTCAGTCGCATCCACCAGCTCGCCCTCTCTTCCTCTCTCGTGCCCTTCCCTAGTGTCACACATCGTTTATCCCATCATCTCCCACCCTCTCCCTCACCTCCCGTGTGCCATCCTGCACGCCACTGCGAATGCTGCTCTCAGTCGCATCCACCAGCTCGCCCTCTCTTCCTCTCTCGTGCCCTTCCCTAGTGTCACACATCGTGTATCCCATCATCTCCCACCCTCTCCCTCACCTCCCGCGTGCCATCCTGCACGCCACTGCGAATGCTGCTCTCAGTCGCATCCACCAGCGTAACCAGCTCGCCCTGCGGGCCCCACACCTCCAACGCCAGCAGCACGTACTCCGCACACCTGAGGGGGGGTTGGTGAGGGGAAGGAGGACGAGAGATAAGGGATGATAAGGGGTAAGGGAACGACTAGGAAAGCTCGCCCTGTGGGCCTCACACCTGCAGCGCCAGCAGCACGTACTCCGCACACCTTGGGAGGGGAGAGGGGGGAAGGGGGAAGAGTGACAGGGTGGAGGGGGCGAGTGGACTAGGGGAACCATAAAACAAGCTCGCGCTGTGGGCCCCACACCTGCAGCGCCAGCAGCACGTACTCCGCACACCTGGCAAGGGGGGAGGGGATGGGGGGTCGTGTAGGGGTGTGTGGGGGAAGTGTGTGATGCGGGGGTGAAGTAGCAGGCTTATTCTAAGAACTCTCAAAAATACATCATGGCAACTTTTTTGACTGCACACCACAACCTAAGCCTGCCATCGCCCTGTTGCCCTTCCCTTTCCCCTTCTCCATAACCCTACCCCCGTGCTCCATACACCCACCTGCTCCTCACGACTGTGCTCTTTGACGCCCGGGCCGTCTCATACACCTTGCTCAGCGGACGCGTCAGCACGTCACTCTGTACGCTCCATAACGTAGTAGTGCACCCACCTGCTTCTCACGCCTGTGCTCTATAGACGCACCTGCTCCTCAATACCTTGCTCTATGACGCCCGGGCCGTCTCAAACACCTTGCTCAAACGCACACGTCAACATATCGCCCTTTAACCTCCATAGTGTATTCCACCCACCTGCTCCTCAAGACCTGAATGGCTGTGCTTTATCCACCCACCTGCTCCTCAAGACCTGAATGGCTGTGCTTTATCCACCCACCTGCTCCTCAAGACCTGAATGGCTGTGCTTTATCCACCCACCTGCTCCTCAAGACCTGAATGGCTGTGCTTTATCCACCCACCTGCTCCTCACGACTGTGCTCTTTGATGCCCGGGCCGTCTCAAAGACCTTGCTCAGCGTGCGAGAGGGCCTGCATCGCATCACCACCTGCAACAGTCAAGGTAATAAGAAACACACACACACACACACACACACACAGAAACGAAACCATTCAAACACAGGACGACATCAAGGGTGCGTCCGGGACATTGCCCAGCGCTCAGGGGCATTACAGGGATAAGGTGGAAGTGACAGGGACAGGGAAGCGGAAGGAAAAGGTGACAAGGACGGGGACGGGGATTGGGACGGGGATTGGGACGGGGACGGGGACTGGGACGGGGACGGGGACGGGGACGGGGACGGGGACGGGGATGGTAACACCAGAGACGACAGAGATAGAAAGAGATAGCACCAGAAAAGGCGAGGACACAAGTCGGGAGGCGAGCTCACAGTTCGAATGGTGGAGTCTGCTGAGTCGGCCATGATAGCCGCGGACGACCCCAGCAGCTTCATCAGCTCCTGATGGGCGGAGGGGGGTGAGAGGCAGAGAATATGAGAGAAAGCAGGTTAGGGTTTGAACTTGACTCAAATTAGGAGCGGACGACCCGAGCAGCTTCATCAGCTCCTGATGGGCAGAAAGGGGTGAGAGGCAGAGAACATGAGGAGGAGCAGGTTAGGGTTGGCGGAAGGCAGACTGCATGGAAAGGAGCAGCCTAGGGTTGGCAACTCAGAAGTCTCAATACCAACCGCGGACAATCCCAGCAGCTTCATCATGAGGAGGAGAAGAATAGCAGCGGACGACCCGAGCAGCTTCATCAGCTCCTGGTGGGCGGAAAGGGGTGAGGCAGAAAACATGAGGAGGAGAAGATTAGGGTTTGGTCTTCAGAAGTCTTAAAACCAGCAGCGGACGATCGACCCCAGCCACGTCAGCATGTCTTGATGGGTGGCTAGGAGGGGCGGGAGGCAGGAGACACGGGGAGCATGCAAGGGTTTGGCCGTGATACATAACCGGTGACTGTTAGTGCTGACGGCAGGCTCGTAAGTCGGTCTGATGGGTGGCTAGGAGGGACAGGAGACAGGTGACACGGAGAGCATGTTAGGGTTTGGCTGTGATACAGGACCTGTTACTGCCAGTACTGACCGCGGCGCAGGGCCTGGCGGTGGTGACCCTGGTACATGATCTGTGACTGGTCCGACACACGAACGACCTGATCGGACACCTGAGTTATATATCGTAGCGGTACTTTTGCTCGGATCCGTGACTTGTAGAAGGTGAATGCGAAAGTAGTGGATCAGACGAAGCAAAAAGGAGATAAGTGCCTTGGGAGCGCTCCGGACAGGTACTCAGAAATCGTTGAGGAATTACCGCAGCGCAATTGCTACTCTGGCATGTGTCAGCTGCGAGAATGCGTGACGAAAGGGAGAATCGCTGACCTGAAGCACGATGTCCGCGCATGCTTCGAAATCCCCGGACAGGCACTCGGCGATTGCTGACACGAGGTTGCACGCCTGCTTGATGATCTTCGACCGGCCGTCCTGGAGTTGGACGGCGAGGTGCGGCATGACCAGCTGCCGGAGCAGAGCCGATATTCCCGTTACTCCAGATCGTGCGGCTGACATCAGATCATCAGGGCATCGGGAACCAAAACCAAGGGAAGGCACGAAGCCAGAGAGTGTTTTCCAGCTTTTACGGACGACGTTGCACAGCCCACTGAATAAGAGGATTTTGAGTAGTATCCTGGGCAGGAAGGACAGAACAGAAGGCCGTAAAGCTACATGAAAACCACAATGGCTGTCACATTGCTAGCTTCTGGGAAACTGTGAGAGAAAGAGCATATGACGATAACCGCTACTTCTGCAGCACCTCTGACAAAAGTGAAGCACGTACCGCCTCGGAAGAGGCCCTCGAGGCGCTTCAGGGCGGCCATGCGAGCATCCCAGTCTGTCTGAGGGTCCAATTTCGGAAAAAGAGCCTCTACCTCTCGCACTAGCTCCCTAGCGTTAGCGACATGGATTATGCTGGCAGCCATGGCTGTAGAGTGAGTGAACCTAATGCTGCTGGAGGCCTGTTCCTAAACAGCGGGTGCTTTATAGCGTCGAATATGTAGCGTCCAGATTGGCCCAATAGAACGAATCCTGTTTCTACTTTACACTGCTAAGTGCTTTGGAAAGAGGCGAACCGAACACGCATGTCTGCTCCATGTCTTGTTGATGAGTCACCGTTGAGTGAAATCCAAGTTAGCATAGCTTGTTGCGGATGCAACTACGGCGTATAATGGTATGACCTCTCAGGGAGAAGTACTCCTAGCGCACCGTCCGTACAAGTGGTAACCACCACAACCTCTTGCTTTAGCCCTTAAAAACAACGGAACGAAACAACAAGGACACGAGCAGGCCGCCAGATTCCGCCGACCACGCTGGTCATGTGAAAGACAGTTGCAAGAAGAATTATGACGGGTTAGCGGTAGCCTAGAATGCTTGCCCTCCTATGGGTTCTAGGGAAGAGCAACGGTCGGGAAGTAGGCATTTTGGGATCAGGAGCAGACTGATTGGTTGGTGGGCCGATGGGGCACAAAAGATCGTTCAGTACGGTAGGAGACAATTTGTTACAGATAGTTTTTTATATCTTAACCGCTTTTGACCGTAAAGCACCAGGCAAAACCGTGGCCGGACCTTGAGGATATGCTGGAGTTGGAATGGAACCAGTCTGCGGAGCAGACTCCGCCTGTGAATTTACCCGCACAGGAACAATCGCGATTGGAGCTTGGGGTTCAAGGTCAGAAAGAAGCAAATATTCTGGACCTTGTCGCGGTTTGGTTTGTGCAGCAGCGAGATAGACATCCATGATAACTTCGGCTGGATGTTACCACATGCGACCAGTCATGACTCACCAGTTCCTTGGAGGTTTTCTGCGCCGCCGTTACAACGGTGAGCTTTACACATGTTGGCGCCAAATTGTTGAGGTCAGACAGGTCGAGCCGCGTTTCTGGCATGCCGATTTGCTTCTGACAAGCCTGAACAGCCACCAATAGCAGCGAACCTGACTGGAACTCAAATTAAACGTACTGTACCACCTTTTGTAAATATATGCATATATTCAAAGCATACAAATTATCTTCCCAGACACTAGTCTCTTTAGCAGGCGCAAGTAGTACATTAATGACGCATGTGAAATAGAATAGATACCCAAATAAACATAATAATAAGACTATCTTGTTTTTGTCAAAATTCACTCTGGTGCCTATGTATTGCAATTAGAGGAGACTACGGAAGAAATCCGCTCGCTGTGATTGCAATGTGAGACAAATTTGGCGGATTATCCGTCCTGATCTTCCTCTCGGCCCAGTAGCGAACCCGCCTATCCTCAACCTGTATTGTGATGGGAGGTATGTAGTAGAAAGTACACTTTGCCTATTGGTTTATCCATAATTTGTGTAGTCAAACGTAATCAAAGTGAATGCTCCAAAAATATTGTAAAAGGTATGTTCCCGATGTTCGTGCGGGCTCAGAAATGTGCAGGTCATTTGACAAAAACTTCACCAGTTGCAGGCCCTGTAACTTCATCCTGACGGTTTCAGTCGGTTTGGTTCAGAATACAGCCAGCTTTCCTCCCTTTCCCCGCCAAAACCTTTGACAGAGCAACCCCTCCACCCCCTCGCCACCCCCGCCGCGCATTCAGGGAGGAGGCGGTGAATGGTTGGATCTAGAGATCAAGCCCTGATTGGTCGACCAGTGCTTTGTTTTCCCCCTTCAAAACCTTGGATTACTGTACAGTACTTTCAGTTGCTCCACCCAAATTCCCCCGAACTGTTCACTTGACTCTCGTGAGACGAATTCGAGATCGTTCTTGGCGTATCCCTACTTGACTTTTTTGTCTCCACTCCACCCTCAAGAAGTCGCAAAGCACAAGCCGGAGCCACAGTTCCATTGACGACCTCGTCAAACATTTCGCGAGCGTCGCCTTTTTCCTCGTGAGTTTCGTTCAGCAGCAAGCTGCTCGCCAACATAACACAAGCAAATCCATGGGCACATGCTTCGTCAGTTCTTGGCTTGAATCCTTCCTGCCCATCCCACCGCCTCGCTGTACGGTATCGCCTCGTAGCACCCTTCGGCGGCTCGGCCCACCGTCAAGCATCTTGCGTGTGTTTACACGGCTCGCGCGAGATCTAAGACGTTCCTTGAAACATGAGGAGCAAACGAGCTTTACGTTTTGGCGCAGACCTCCTATTCTGGGGAAAGACATTGCTGTATTTCGAAGCTGCTGCGCGAGCAGACGAGAGAATTCGCAGATACGATCTTTGGTCATAAACTAGATTTCTAAGAACTCGAACCAATTTTACATGCACCCTTGCTAATGCGCTGCGAAGAGAGAGGTCAGGCGAGAGGTGCATCGGAAGCTGCGATCCCGGGTCGCCGTTAGAAGCTGCGGAGCGCGTTAAAAGCTCAGCTTTAAAGCTGCGGACCGCGTTAAAGCTGCGTTAGAAAGAAGGTACCGCGACAGGCGATGCGGCATCCAATTTGCGGCAGACGATCCGGCCGCACAACACGGAATCCATAGTCGTGAAGGTGCTTATTGGATCTCGTTCGTTCGACCAATTATTTTCCTGATTTTAGAAGATCAGGGAGCAGCTCGAACTTGAAGTTCCGCCATGGAACATTTTGGTGATGACTGAACTCTGACCTTTATCGTTGAGTATCATGCTATGATAGCATAGTATGTGACTGTCGGTCGCTCGCTTTCCCGTCGCACGAGACAGCCACCACCGCGCGCACAGGAGCATCTCCGACAGTGACCTCATATACGCTAACCTGATACAGAGCTCAGTAATTTCCGATAAAATAACCTCAGATACCCTCACCTCTGATATAGTGACCTTTGATATAGTAACCTCCAATACAATTATCTCTAACACGGGAGGTCTCCAAAGGTGATCATATACTCAGCAAGTTGTTATCATGGCGATGCGGACGCGACGGGACCAGCTATGTTCCCTCTTCCCTCGCTCCCAACTCGATTTGCTCTCAAACCGCCGCCGCTGCCGCCATCGCGCCCCCCACGCTTTCGGTTCTATCCTTCCGCGCGCCATTCCCCTTCAGCGCGCCACTCTCCTTCCGCGCGCCACTCCCCCTCCGCGCTCCATTCTCCTGTCCCTTCCCCGCTGCTTGCGCCTCCTCTCCCTCGTCTTGGTAACATCGGTTCTTCCGTCTGAAGATACTTCCTGCCACGTGGCCCGCGCTGAGTCGAACGACGTGCTGACGCCGAAGGGCGGCTGTCTGACGTCACGTTGCGTCAGGTACACCCGGGGGCGGTGGTTGTTGCCGTCGGGTACGGCGTCGGCGATTATCAACGCGAATGGCAACTTGAACTACGAGCGGTACAAGGTGGGTAGAACACGGTGGAGTGCGGTTTAATGCGGTGCTATGTGGTTCGTCGTATTAGGGAGTATGGCGTCGGCGATGATCAGCGCGAATGGCATCATGAACTACGAGCGGTACAAAATAAGTGCTGCACGGTGGAGTGCGGTTGGATGCTGTACAATGTGGCTCCCTGGTTAGGCTTGTTAGGGGGTACGGCTTCGGCGATTATTAACGCGAATGGCAACTTGAACCATGGGCGGTAGCGTATGCGTATGTTCAGACATGGCAACTTGAACCATGGGCGGTAGCGTATGCGTATGTTCAGACATGGCAACTTGAACCATGGGCGGTAGCGTATGCGTATGTTCAGACATGGCAACTTGAACCATGGGCGGTAGCGTATGCGTATGTTCAGACATGGCAACTTGAACCATGGGCGGTTCAAATCTGTAAAGTCGGAACTCTTCGAATGGCAACTTGAACCATGGGCGGTACAAGGTGGGTGGTGCACAGCCTAGCGCGGTTTAGTGCGTGCAATGCGTTTGTGCTGTGTAGGAAGGGACCCGGCGTTACTGAGTATGAGCGTGAACGGCAGCATGAAATGACAGAGTGGGAATGTGGAGTGGGAACAGCAGTAGCAGCAGTAAGAGCATGTAACAGCGGATACGAACAAATACAGCGGTAACAGCAGTTACAGTGGTAACAGCGGTAACAGCAGTTACAGCAGTAACAGTCGCAACACATAGAGTCTTTGTGCATGTGTTTCTGCGACTCTTTTTCCTGCCATCGTCTCTCCCCTTTGCTGCCTTGTCCCACTCAACCCATTTCCCTCATCCCCACCCATCCCCGTTCTCTCTGCGGCCCCCCATCCTTCCCTGTCTTTCCCCCCCATCCTTCCCTGTCTTTCCCCCCCATCCTTCCCTGTCTTTCTCCCCCATCCTTCCCTGTCTTTCCCCCCCATCCTTCCCTGTCTTTCCCCCCCATCCTTCCCTGTCTTCCCCCCCCATCCTTCCCTGTCTTTCCCCCCCATCCTTCCCTGTCTTTCCCCCCCATCCTTCCCTGTCTTTCCCCCCATCCTTCCCTGTCTTTCCCCCCCATCCTTCCCTGTCTTTCCCCCCCATCCTTCCCTGTCTTTCCCCCCCATCCTTCCCTGTCTTTCCCCCCCATCCTTCTCTGTCTTTCCCCCCCATCCTTCCCTGTCTTTCCCCCCCATCCTTCTCTGTCTTTCCCCCCCATCCTTCCCTGTCTTTCCCCCCCATCCTTCCCTGTCTTTCCCCCCCATCCTTCCCTGTCTTTCCCCCCCATCCTTCCCTGTCTTTCCCCCCCATCCTTCCCTGTCTTTCCCCCCCATCCTTCCCTGTCTTTCCCCCCCATCCTTCCCCGTCTTTCCCCCCCATCCTTCCCCGTCTTTCCCCCCCATCCTTCCCTGTCTTTTCCCCCCATCCTTCCCTGTCTTTCCCCCCCATCCTTCCCTGTCTTCCCCCCCCATCCTTCCCTGTCTTTCCCCCCCATTCCCCCCCTGCTCCCTGACAGCTCACAGACAGCAGCGACGTGTTATTGAAGACCAATGTACGCCTCTCCCTCCACCCTCCCCGCCCCCATTGCCATGCGTCTCAAAAGATGCTCTGTGAAATCACGCGCACATCTTTCAACAAGGTGACTTTTGAGTCGAACCAAAAGTCACCTGAAATCATCGAACATCCGAGCACGTTCCTTCTCATCTGCACTTACATTCTGCACAGGCAGGGTTTTGAGACGTCTCAAAAAAAACATCCGAGCACGTTCTTTCTCATCCGAGCACGTTCTTTCTCATCGGAGCACGTTCTTTCTCATCCGAGCACGTTCTTTCTCATCGGAGCATGTTCTTTCTCATCCGAGCACGTTCTTTCTCATCCGAGCACGTTCTTTCTCATCCGAGCATGTTCTTTCTCATCCGAGCACGTTCTTTCTCATCCGCACTTACATTCTGCACAGGCAGAGTCACATGAGTTACGAAGACAGGCAGTAGCGTCCATATCATGTGTATTACGATGACCTTACCTCCCCTTTCCTCCCTCGTCCTTCTCCCCCTCCCCTCGTCCCTCCTCCCCCTCCCCTCGTCCCTCCTCCCCCTCCCCTCGTCCCTCCTCCCCCACCCCTCGTCCCTCCGCGGCCTCTCCTCCTCCCTCCCCCATCCACAATACAGGTCATAAACGTGAACACGTGCTGCCAAAAATGCGCCCAAGCTGACAAGTGCGTCTTTTTCCACTACGAGCCGCCGATGTGAGTGCTGCTACTGTACTGTTTTTGAGGCGCCCATGTGAGTCACTTTTGAGAATTCCCAAAAATGCTACTGTACTCCGCTGCTCCCCACGAGTGCTCCAACTTTTGAGACGTCTCAAAAGTCCCCAAGTGTTCCCCACTCATTCACTCGCTCACTGCCCCACTGCCCAAGCCAGAAAGCTTTTTCAGTACGAGCCGCCGCCGTGAGTGTGTGTGTCCATCCCACAACTTTCCCCACTCGTTCACTCGCTCCTGTCCATGCTTGGCCCCAACGGCCCTGCCCACGTGTTGTGTGCTGCCAAAAATGCGAGCAAGCCGACAAGTGTGTCTTTTTCCACTACGAGCCGACGATGTGAGTGCTGCTACTGTACTGTGCTGCTCCCCACGAGTGTTCCCCACTCATTCACTCGCTCACTGATTGGAGTCACATCCATGACCAAGTAATTTGGAATGAGTGAGTGAGTGAATGAATGGATTTGCGACCCACAAGTTCCACCACTCACTCGCTCGCCAGCTCGCTCGCTCGCTCGCTGCCATGCTTGGCCGTGCCTCAACGCTCATGCCCACGTGTTCCGATCCTTTTGAGTCGACTCAAAAGTCACCTCGCTTGGCCGTGCCTCAACGCTCATGCCCACGTGTTGCGATCCGCCAAACATGCATCCCCAAGCCAACAAGTGCCTCTTTTTCCACTACGAGCCGCCGCTGTGAATGCTGCTGTGCCGCTCTCCCCGTGTGCTGGCCCCCCTGCGTGCTGCCCCTCTCCCGAGTGCCATTCCCCCCGTGTGCTGCCCCTCTCCCGAGTGCCATTCCCCTTGAATGCTTCTCACTGCTCACTGCTCTACGGCTCGAGCCAATAAGTGCGTCTTCTTCCAGTTTTGAGACTTGAGACGAGTTTTGAGACGTCTCAAAACTCTGCTGCTCACTGCTCTCCCGCTCCAGCCGATAAGTACGTACATGCTTCCCCTGCCTCTCCCCTCAACCACCCTCAGCGTTCCCGGCAACGGCGTTTTCAGGCTGCTAACCAGTTTGGACAAATTCACCGTAGACAACACTAAAACGAGCGTCGATCCTCTCTCTCCTCTCTCTCCTCTCTCTCCTCTCTCACCTCTCTCGCTTCTCTCACCTCTCTCTCCTCCCAGTGTTCCCGGCAACGGCGTCTGCCGGCCGCTAACCAGCTTGGACAAATTCACCGTAGACAACACTAAAACGAGCATCAATCCGTCTTATATCGGGGGCAGCTGCAACCCGCTGGCAGAAGTGAAGAACGACCCACATTTCGTGGGTGCGGAGGGCACGAGATTTGATTTCCACGGGGAGCTGAATCGATCCTTCTGCCTGCTGACTGACCGGGATTTTCATATCAACATGGGCATCAAGGGGTATGAGGACGGGAGAATGGCGGTGGGGGGAAGGAGAGGAGGGAACGGAAGACGCAAGTTGCCCATACGATCCTGGATCAGGTATGCACGGTGGTGTCTTGGGCTGGGCTGCTCAGTTAAATCGTTCGTTCTGCCTGCTGACTGACCTGAACGTGCAAGTGGTTTGAATGATGCGAGTAACTTGTTTTGAGTCGACTCGTAACTAATGCTGCGCGTTACTTCAAGATTCTATGGATAAAATATTCTTTCGATGCCCTAAATCCTTAGAAAGAACCCCCAGGCGCACTGTGTATCAACCTTCAGTATTCTTGCCTTCTTTCAAACCAGCAGGGCTTTTTTTCAGAATTCTCAAAAGAACCCTGCCGCACTGTGTGTCAGTCTTCAGTATTCTTGCCTTCAGTATTCTTGCCTTCAGTATTCTTGCCTTCTTTCTAACCAGCATTTTTCCATTGTCTCCCCTCCTGCCATCCAGGGAGCTCTACATGACGTGGCGAGATCCCATTGGCTGGCAGCACTCGGTGTTTCTGAAGGCGCGGGATGGCAAGGAGCAGCGGCGGGGGGAGAGGGGGTTCATTGAGCGGATGGAGATGGACGGGCGATCGTTGAACCCTCCCACTGAGGTAAGCTTTTTGAGTGATTGCGCCCACTCAGGTAACAATGAAGGTGTCACTGTCTCAGGTTACATTTGAGGCGCCTTAAAATTGGTTTCTGTTTTGAGTCGACTCAAAACCCCACCCAGGTAACAATGAAGGTGTCACTGTCTCAGGATACTTTTGAGAAGCCCCAAAAATGGCTTTCGAGAATTCTCAAACTGTTAGCCACGGATGTGTCACTGTCCTGGGTTACCTTCGTCTCTATCTCTCACCCTGAAGCTACGTCTCCTCTCCAATTCTCTGTTGCCATTGCATGCTGGGTGCTCTTTAGGATTCTCAAAAACACCCCGTTCAACACCCACCCTCTGCTGCAACCCCCACCGTCTCCTTCTTTCCTCCCTCCACTTTCCCGCCATCTTTCTTCTCGCCCTTCCTTCTGCTCCCCTCCCCAGGTGAGGCATACAGTGCATGGAGGGGGGGGGTTCCTTTCACATGGTGCTGGCATCAACAGCGCCCACGGGGGAATGGCAGGGACAGGGACACATACCAACCTTCTCTCTCTCTCTCCCCCTCCCCCCCATTCCATCCCTCCCCCACCCAGGTGGGGCAGGCAGTGCATGGGGAAGGGTCCTTTCACATGGTGCTTCTATCGGCCACACCCATGGGGGATGGCAGGGACAAGGACACATACCGTTTGCGCTTGGGGGGGTTAGCAAGCATGGAACTCTCCTTGCATGTTGCACACCCGCTGCTGCAGACGGCTGACGAGGCTCACACTCACTTCAATGTCTACATGAAGTACCTCAATGTGAGTGAACTTCAAATATTATTTATTAGATTCATATATATATATGTATGTGTGTGTATGTATAAATACTTATACATATATATATATATGTATAAGTATTTATATATATATATATGTGTGTGTGTTCTTTGGTTCCTATTCACGCTTGACTGTTTGCGTTGAATTTGTTTCTAGACAGCTTAATGTGGTGTGAGGATGGGGATGACAATGCATCATTGTTTACCCTTCATCACACCAAAGGGCCCCCACACATGCCCCTTCCATGTGACTTTTTTTTGCGGTCACCGTATGACCCCCTCCCTTTTTTTTCTCTCTTTTTACCCTTCATCACACCTTAGAGACCCCGCACATACCCTGTCCATACAACCACTTTTTGCATCTTGTGTTAATGTCATCATATGACGCCCATTTTCTCTCTGTTTCCCTTTTTGTTCCGATGGACTAAACAATAGAACACGGATGCAGTGCATGGTGTACTAGGGCAGACTTTTAGAGGGGAAATTACCCGCTCTAAACGAGCTGAGGAGTATGGACTGCTGACTAGGCTGCTGAGAGCCCCGATTCAAGCTGACGGGGAGACAGGGCGAGGCTTTCTGGATGGTGACTTGGAGGATTATGCCACGTCAGCAATCTACGCTGCTGACTGTGTGTTTGCCACGGCATGGAATGACGCTCGGAAGAAGGTTAGGGAAGTGCTTGGGGAGGTTGGGGAGAAGCAGAAAGTTTTTGGAGAAGCTGTGACAGAGGCTCAAGGGGAGGTTGAGGAGGCTCGGGAGGAGGCTTGGGAGGAGTCTGAGGAGGTTCGGCAAGAAAACGTGACTAGTTTGCTAATGGAGGGTAGAGATCAGCGGTCCAAAGCATATTTAGAAGAAGTTGCAGGGAAAATGGTGGAAGGGGATGGAGAGAAGAGGAAGCAGCAAGATGATTTGACTGAAAAGGTGGGGGGAGAGAGAGAAGGAAGAGAAGAGAGAGATTACAGGGAGGGCGTTAGGGAGAATGGCAGTGGCAAGATGTGGGGAAGGGTATGGGAGAACAGAGACTCAGCGGCTGACGAGGAGAGTGTTACAAGTTTTACCCGCCACAAAGAACAACTGGTTCATGAAATATTTCAATAAGGTTAGTGCAGTTTAAGAGCCAAAAACTAATAATACCTTTGGGTGTATGTATAGCCATTGAAATAAAGATAAGCCAGGAGCCAAATATTTGTAGATGCTCGTGTTTCATTACCGTGTCTGGATATAAGCGCACCCTTTTATTTGGCACATGCGCTTATACCTGGGTGAGTGCGCTTATAAGGGCTTGCCGTTTATACACACACCCCCCTTTTTAGGCTCAACTTATTACAAGCGCATGCGCTTCAATTGTGTACTGTTTCACATAAGAATAACATACTAAGGCATGCATACAACATGTTCTAAATGTCATATTAAGCCTAGTCTAGTCTAGGCCTCGCCTTCCTCTTCGTTGGCCTCATCGTCGGCCTCATCCTCGTCGTCTGACTCTGGCTCGGTGGTGTTATTAGCGAAGAAGCTGTCTGCAGCCACATCGTCCGTCACATCTATGGACGTGGGCTCGCTGTAAAACATATATGTGTATTATATTGTCTAGGCTATATAGGGGCTAGCCTTAGGGGGTATAGGTTTCACCTCGACACTCTTGCTTATACCCCATCCTATACCTAACAAACCCACTTCTAAACTCTCTCGACATGGTATAGAGCAGGTCCTTCTAAGGACCGTTTTTTTAAGGGCCCACCAGTTAGCTTTTTTTTTCTGCCCGTTTTATCTACCCTGCCCTACGATTTCGCGCTGCCCTGCTCTACCCTGCCGCGCGCAGCCCGTACAGCCCACGCACAGCCCGCGCGTAGCCAGTACAGCCCGCGCGCAGCCCAAGCGCGGCCTGTGCAGCCCGCACCAGGCACGCGCGCAGCCCGTACGACCCGCGCAAGGCCCGCTTGCGGCCCGCACAGCCCGCGCCAGGCCCGCACGCAGCTTGTGCAGCCCACGCCATGCCCACGCGATACCCACGCGCGGCCCATACAGCCCGCGCCAGGCCTGCGCGCACCTGCTCTGCCGCGCGCGCACCTGCTCTGTAGCGCGCGCACCTGCACTGCCCCTGCTGCCGCCTGTGCTACTGTTACTACACTGCTTTTACTGCACCGCTGTTACTACACTGCTGTTGCTGCACTGCTGTTACTGAACTGTTATTGCTGCACTGCTAAGCTACTGCTTCTGCCCTGCTGCTCCTGCCCGCGCGCCGCTAGTCTGCAGCCCTTGCGGCCCGCACCCTTCCATTGCCGCCCACGTGCCGCCTCTGCCTGCCAGCGCGCCGCCTCTACTGCCTGCGTGCTGCCACTGCTGCCCGTGCGCCCGCTGCAGCCATGGCTACACTAAATGTCCTTACCTTCGACCCTGACAGCCGCCCGATAGAGTTCGCCACGTGGCTAGATGACCTGCAACTTTTCCTCATGACCGATGCTGAAGACGGAGTTTCCTTGTTTGACCACGCGTCTGGCTCCTCAGTTGCTCCTCCTGACACAGATGACAGCCTCTCTCATTCACAGTGGCAGACCCGTGACGCAGCTGCTCGCCTAGCTATTCGCAACCATCTGCCATTAGCTGAACGTGCTCACTTCGGCCAGCACAAGACCGCTAAGGACCTGTACACCGCTATAGTCGCTCGCTACTCTTCCCCTGCCACTGCTGCTCTCAGCCGCCTTCTCCTGCCCTATCTGTTCCCCGAGCTGTCCTCCTCTGCCACAGTTGAGGACCTCATCTCCCACCTTCGCGCTAGTGACGTTCGCTACCGTGCCGCTCCCTCAGCAGAGTTCTTAGCCGCGAACCCGCCCCCGATGTACATCACGCTCTACTTCCTACTCACCCGCCTCCTTGACTCCCTTCGTACAGTCAGGGACCACTTTCTAGCCCTCGACCCTACCGCCCTCACTGTCGACGACTTCGAGAAGCACCTCCTTGCAGCAGAGAAGAGCATTGTTGCTGTAGGTGCTGCTCGTGGCACTCCTCGCACTCCCCTCTTTGAGAGGTGTTCCTCCTCCCCCCTTGCCCCCTCCTATGCTTCCGCTGCTGCTGCTGACTTCCTTGGTGCTGAGTAGGTCGGCGCTACTTCTGCTCCTAGTGGGAGGCGCCGCAGCGGCAAGGGTAGGGACGGCAGGAGTGGTGGAGGTGGTGGAGGGGGGGGCGGTGGTGGAGGCGACGGGGGTGGTGGAGGTGGCGGAGGTGGCGGTGGGAGTAGTGGCGCGAGTGGAGGCGTCGGTGGCGGCGGTAGCGGTAGTAGTGGGAGTGGTGGCGGTGGAGGTGGCAGTGGCGGTGGTGGCGGCAGTGGGAGCGGTGGCAGCGACAGTGGTAGCGGTCGGGGTGGAGCCTTTCCGAGGGGAGGCTCTGGAGGTGGTCAGAGGCAGCAGCAGCAGCCGCGTCTGCGCGAGACCCTTACGCCCCAGCAGCTTCGTGAGTGGTATGCTCAGCGTGGGGCGTCTGGGGGTACTGTTCGCTGCCCGTATGTCATTCGCACCAGTCCCCGAACTGGACAGCCATGCGGGAAGTTCCACACCGAGTACCGCTGCTTCTCCCGTCTTGATGATGCCTGGCGCACACAGTTTCCTGATGCACCTAAGCTCCCCCGCTGGGCAGACTTGCTTAAGCGCGATGTTGATATCTTTGCTC